TCAAACCTTTACCCTCGAGAATATGTCCAACACCTGACGTCACGTCCGGGCGTACGTCCTCAAAACCCGACCCAGTCCTCTGGGACATGAATTTCACAAAATTTCATGGCTAAATCCCTTAATTTCAGAAAATCTATAACGAATTAGCATTTTTCGATTTAATTTTTGAAATCAGCATCAAGGATTTGATCTATAATAGAATTTTGCATTTTCGTGTCATATCCTCTTTAAGTGGAAGACTCTTACGATCGTATAAGAACCAGGCTTAACTTCAAAAACACAATCTAAGAGGCAACAAGCTTGTCAACACTATATAAAAATTTGTTACAATTTGAATAATTCATTTTAGTATTAGCCACTATAAATAACTATATATCTTTTAATATAAAAATTTGAGTTTGACTTCCGCTAGGTCGGATCATTTCCTTATAGTTCGATAAATTGTAGCAATAATTCCATTTTCAAAAAACGGTTTTATTGTACACTCAAGAAACAACTTTAACTGCAGTGTGACCGAAAACCACAATTCAGGACAACCGCTGAGAAATGTCTCTCCTGCGTCAAGCATTATATTTGGCATATCTTTAGTATTGTAAAAAGCAAAGACTCATCTTCCGTTGCAGTTGGTACTACAACCACAAGAATGAGAACATGGGTCACAATCACATTCATTTGGCACATGGTGGATGATCACCGGCTCAATTGGCGGTATTGGTGGTAACTGTTTCAGCTGTGGCATTGGTGTAGGTACTGTATGGGGAGGTATTACCTTGAGAGGAGTTTGAGGTGTGGGTGGAGCTACTTCTTTTCGCTTTGGTACTAAGACTGACTGTAGAGTTGCCTGGGTGGGATGGCTTCCAATAACATGTTGTAGAACTGTTACCGTTGGACGCGTCATAACAGGGATCGGTTGAACCGGAGACATCTCACCTGCAAGTATACCCTGATTGGAATTGTTCTTAACCGGTTCGACGGGTAACACATCTTGAGTGGGTAGAGACACGTTGAATGCGGGCAAATTTGGTAACAGGGCATGTGTTCTGTTGGAGACGCTATTTCCATCATTTTGAGTTCCTTTTGTTGGCACTGTCGCAAGGTATTTCTGTGCCGGTACGGTTTGAACCGGGATAACATCAAACGGTTCCGGAACGTTGACATGCGGTGCTTTAGTTGGTGCAGGGGTGTATGCATCTTGCGAAACTGAAGAATGCTTAGAAGTTGGTTTTGAGGTGGGTACTCGTGCTGTTGTTGGTACTTTTACACTTGCGGCTAGCATCGTCGGCTTCTGACTGGATGCCAGGGTCGTTCTAATAGCCAACACTGTAGGCTTTTGGCTGGCTACCGAGATTGTTCTTATGGCAGTAGAAGGCCTAGATGAAGGTCTTCTTGTCGATATTACAACTACCTGGCGTTTGCCTTTCATGTCATTTAGCAAAGAGTCTTTATTCAGTCCTTGACTGCCATGCCCTCCATGTAACCAAGCATAAAATTTGTTCTGTCTTTGTGACTGTTTGGACATATTTACCAAGAATAGCAAGTCCATAGTTTGTACGAGAAACCATGTCAAGAAGATGGAAATTCTCATTGCAACTTTGTTTGTTCACTTTTTGAACCAGTTGGTGTCTGAAAGATAAACAACTCGTGAGGCAAATCATTCCTTTGAATGGACGAAAGACACGGTAGAGTCTCAAAGAATCTTTTTTCTGAAGTATCAATTTGAGGATTACAAGACTGTCTCTGTTAAAGATACAAAAATAAAAAATCCTACCCTTGATGCCCCTTGGTTTAAAAAGTCTCAAATTACACTGCCGTCGGAACGAATTGGAAGGATGCCCATTGTATTCCTTCTCATTCAGTACACTTTTATTAAGGAAAAAAAACTAAAGTTGGATAATAAGCTCCAGCCCCATCCCTGGTTCCATCGGGCCTGAATTGCTGCATAACACGTTTACAAACATCATACTTGACGTCGTAAAAACGAGGGGTGCTGCTAGAAACAAATTATCAAGAAGCTGTTGTATATATTCTGCCTACGAAGGACGTACACGACCTCCGGAAGTTATATACTAAAGGACATTGAACGCGTCTTAAAGTGTTTTTGGGCATGCATCTTTAATAAAGATATTACACTTCAATATATAAAAAACGTTGTCAAATCACCGCTCTACTTTCCCAAGTGAAAAGACATTAGCTTACTAGAAACCATGAAGTGCCAACATTAACTGGCAAGTTGAAATAGATTCAGACAGGGACTAACATCGCATGGTGGAAAGCCTCGCTTGGTGCTAAACACTTAAATCTGCAAGCATGCTAGCTCCCAATAAAAGGGCTGATGCTCCGTTAAGGTTTCAAATTTAGAATATAAGCAGTGCTGAAAATTCTGTATAAATATGGCTAGTTTTACATTCCTGTTTTAAGTTTTCGTCCTATCATCATCAAATCAATTTAGAAAAGCACAGAAACTGTTACATCATACTGTTCCATTCTGACCAGGAGAGACACAAGGTCACATGGCCCTATTTTAAAGGCACTATGTCCTGTCTTTCAACTGTTCAGTGTTAGCAATAGCCTTCCCAGCGCGTTTATGATTGAAAAAATCATTGAGAATTAGCCTTACTTTGCCGATTGTACATGTAATGAAAGGTTTATTGTGTTGTCAAATCAATGGGAAATTTAAATGACCAACGAAATGCACTGGGACAAAATGCCTTTCGTGAATGACACCTACTGCTACACTGCTTCCAGTTGAAAAATTACCTTTCAAGGTGGCGTAGAATCAAATAGTCGAAATAACTACTGGGTTCAAGCTGAATCACGGTATATATAATTTGTTTTTTTCCATTCGAAAGTTATACAAAGGAGTAGCTAAAATCTAGTAGAAAGGAGTCTTCCAAGATACTTACAGCATAAAGTAGAGATATTGGCTTTGAAATGCTCCCCTAACGAAAATCAAACGGAGAAAATGTGATGTAGAATTGCAAATCCATTTGATGAATGACTTTCCAATGCCACAGCAAACTCACGAACAATGGCCAGAAGCTTCGTAAAGATTCGTAAAGATTCAAATGCTGGTCCTCAGTTTTTAAATCCTGCTTGTATGAAACAAAATCAAGCGACTTAACGAACGAACTTTCATTACAATTCGAAATTTCTAAAAATCCTGTGTAATTCTCGAAATTTGGCAATCGTACGGTATCTGCTTCGCCAACTTTGTGCTCAGTGCGTGCTCATTGGGCATGTTTACCGTTAACACTGCATCCGCCATAACGAAGAAGCCTCGAGTACCTGTCATATATACCAGCCATGCCATTGAACGTCAATTCTAATTTGATCAATTAAAAAACAGTTATTGCAAGTGAATAAACACATAAATCGTTGTTAGAAGTAATCTAGATGAACAGCTAGAAGGCGCAAAGTGACCGGTTTTCAATTCGCCATGCTGAACAATGTGTTACTGATAAAAACGATCTGTAAACAATACGAGATATTCCATGAATTGCCACTGTGACTAAAAAATAGTTAGAAAACTTTCGAAAATTCTGTCAACAAGCAAACGCACACAATTCAACCAGGCCAGCACATAAAACCGTCTGTCTATACAGCACTTACAATTCACATTTTGCGCCCTACTTTTATGATAGAAGTAAATAATCTTTGCTAATCTTCGAGGAAAACGTTTATAGCCTTTTCAAAAGATAAGTTCTGAGATATAGCAAACAAATCCTAATATGTGGTGCAAAATTTCTGTCATGCAGTTTGTGATTCCTGATTACTGATACGATTTTCTGATGTTTTGACAGGAATGGCGTGCCATAAACCACCGTTGAAACTTCTGTATAAGCCGCCTGCCTACATAGGCTACATCCTTAATAAGTTGGTAAGGCTTACAAAATTGGAAAAAATACTTTTTGTTTGCAAACAATTTTTCGGTGGAACAACAATTAAAAATGGCTTTGAAAAAAGCAAACACCTTGAAACATATAGACTTTTCAAATGACACTTTCAGAGCATTAAGCGTCAGAATATAGTTCGAAAACCCTAAGCTAGGAAATATAGATACCCAGATGTGGATCGAAATAGGCCAATCAGAAACGCGAGCACATGACTTCAGAGGCTGCCAAATCTGTGCCGCTAGCCCATTAATAATATTACCAATAGAGTCCTAAGGTGAAAACGAATAGGCCATAAGTTTGTTTGTGCCAACGTGACATTTTGTTACGCGTCACATTTTCCGTGCCAACGTGCCATGGGTTTGTACGTGCCAGACAAGGTGCCAACATGCAAAAAGCCAGCCAATGTGCCAGCCACCCATCAGTTTGAACGTGACTTTTTGCGATGTGCAAAGGTGCCATAAATATGTAAGTAACAATGTGTCATTTGTTTTTACATGTTTTAATAGTTTTTTTATACAATCTTCTTTTTTTTGAGAGTCACCTGAAGGCTTGCTTAGATGTCTTCAATTTGTCCTTTTTTACCCTTAGTGACAAGCGGGTACTGATGGAAAATGCAGTTGGAAGTAAGACGAGATAACATTTAAAATAGACGCCTAGAAAGGCACAATGAGTTCTTCCGCTCTACTTTCTATTTGTCTATAAACAGGAAATAGGAAACAGGAAATAGGTGCTTAATCGTCCAAAATAATCATTTTACAAAGGGCATTGGCGTATAGTCTAAAGCATACTTTTCATTTTTGTTTTTAACGATTAATGTTTAGTTTTGGTGTTAAAGCTGCAACTTTTGTGATTTTCTTGTTACCTAGCTCAACGTAGACTAATTTCACTTTTATAAAAATTTTTACCAAAATACCTTAATCCATCTGAAGATCATGCGATTAAACAATTAAACAACTTCAACCGATAAAATGTTTTCTAATAGCTTCTGAAATACACTTCTCTAGATGCACTCTGAAGTGACCGGTCGTTTCAAATATATCTTCTCAGAAAAGTTTTAAAACAAACACAAACAACAGCAAAACGATAAAAAAATATAGCGAAGAGACATCAAGAAATACAACAGGGAATACAACAAGAAAACTTTTAAAGAAACAAAAAATACAAACTTCTGTAGTTCCTGATGCAAACCTAAGATTCGTTAAGCCTTCTCACTAATACCAATAAAAATTAAATAGCGTAGAAATATATTGAAGGCCGACATAACACGAGCTGTAAAAACTAAAAAAAGAATGGTTCAAATGGTCCAATGAGTTAAAATCGTCTTTTGTGAAATATCTCTTGAGCAAAATTAAAAATATGGTTGATTAAAAGCAAAATGAGATCAAAATCAAGGGTCAACTTACAACAACCTAATTAGGTACCATGCAATTTTTCTCCTTTCGTTTCGCCTCTCTACCGAAATTCTTGTCGCCTCCTTAATGTTCGAGTGAATAAGCAGGCTACAGTTTCCAATTGGCGTACTTTTTGCAATTTGTTTTCGTTTTATTTGCAAAAAAAACAGGCAAAGACGAGAACAGATTTTACAGGGATCTATTTGAAATTTAAAGCTATCAAATTGGGCCTCTTCAAAATGAAATAAAAACACGCCTTGAACAACAAACCAGGAATTGTTTAATTTGGCTAATATTACACCTAGCTTAATGCAACATAGAAACAAATTGAATGTTTGCATTCTAAATACAACTTTATTACACACTACGTTTGTACATATATTAAAAAAGATCACTAATAGGATATCTAGAAATAATTTTTTTACAAAAACATTTGTAAATGAGTGGGCTATGATATCTGAAACCTCTAACTTTGTCTCAAGACAAGTTGCAAGTCAGGTTGTAAAAATCCTAACACTCGATTGAGCTGTATGTTGAGCTTTCTTCGCATGACAACTGGCAATTTACTTGATCTTGCTGATAACTGAAAGGATGAATTCAAACGGCTTGAGTGGAAACTAAGCGAAATTGTTCAACAAAAATCTCCAAACTAATGTCAGAGGGCATACTCCTATATACTTTATCAATGAAACATTCAAAACTCTTCCAGTTAGCAAAAATATAAGATCAGCTACGGCTGACTTTGTTGTTTAAAGAAAAATAAATAAACATGCCAGCAGTAAACCATAACTGCTAGTGCAGTATTGTATAACATTGAAAACATACCAATTTTTCTTTAATTTGCATATACAAATCTACAATCTCCACTTCAAATTTATCGTGAACCCACATTCCTATGTCCTAAAAAATAACGAGAAAATCAAGCACCTTCCATCCAAGGACAAAAGACCTGTAACCGAAATATAAAAAAATGATAATTTGACAGAAGCAAGATAAACAATGAGTTGTACTTACCGCATTGCAAATTGCTTCTAAGTGAAGAATTTCCAATTTTTGATTGATTTCTTCTCTACGATTTCTGAACCACCCTTCGAAATTCGGAGACTGGAAAAATTTCCTGATGGAATAAAAAATCCAGTTTCAAGCAAGAGAACGACGAAAAACCTTAATAAAATGGCAGCCTTTAAAGGGAAACAAGTGAAATGCCGAAATAATGAAGCTGGTGTTTAATGGAGCAATTTTTACGACTCCTGTTTACTAACAATTAACAGCAATTTTCCTAACGCCGATTTTTTATATGCTTGAAATGAAACTTATGAAAACGTCGAATACCATACAAATTCATGTTTCATCCAAGTGTTTCATTCGTCAAAAAATCACTTAACAAATGCCTAAAGCTAAGAAGAAGTTTTCTCCTTGCGTTTTTTCCATGAAGCTCTCGAGGAGCAACCTCGATTGTAAGCCTCACCTGTAAAGACCGTTCCAGTTTCCTTTTAACTTTGACGTTAACTGTGGTCCAAAATTGCCTAGTGTGCGGAGAAAAGATTCCGTATCAAACTGTTTCAGTTTCGGCGGAGACTGCAAAAAAATATGTTTTCAAATGAAGGAATACTTTGATGACTTGGGCAAGTAATGAAACACAATACAAATTCACCTGGATATGAAATCAATTGAATAGAAAACAGCCATTGCATTCCATAACAGAAAATATTGATGCAACAAATGTTTTCCAGAAGTTTACGGTCTGTTGGACGTACACATTGACAAAACAGTGAATGAAATACTGCTTTGAAAAAACATTGCAGCTCATATCTATTTATCACGTGATTGAGTTGCTTAGACCGTATTAAACGATCCTGGCAAACAAATACCCCCCCCCCCCCGCCACAGTGTTGAATTACAGATGCCTGGCTGAAATCAACCACATTTGGGAAACCCTTCTGCCAACAATTCTAAGTATGGAATACTTGAGATCCATCGAGGTTTAGGGTGCAAAACTCAAAAGCTTGCTCCATCATTATTTTCTGAACGAATCAACTTCTATTTTCAAGATATATTTGATTAATTCAAACTTACTATAAAAAACAGGGTTGAAGAAGATTGATAGAATCTTGGTAAAAACGATCGACTTTAAATGATGGAGAGAAAATTCAAATTAAGAAGTGTTTTAATTGTTACGAAATGAGGACCAGTACTATGTTGGTCGCAATTGGAATTAGAACTGTGGATGTTCTAACTTCTGCATAATCCTGTTCTATTAACTAATACTTTTCAATACAACAATGAGCAAATGATTGAAAGACAAGACTATCTCACCCTCCAGGGCGAAATACTCCTTTGCAACGGCATCAGACTGCTTATGTATCTTTCCTATTTGAAAAATGTAACATTTGTCATAAAGGTAAAAATCGGCGTAATAGTTTGAGCATAGGTTTTTACTCTTAAATGCATAATTCGATCAATTCTTGATGATAAAGAGAAAATAAGAACTTGGTTGCTGAGGTTTCATAGGATGTTCATTATAAAAATGTCAAGCAATTTCGTTCAAAACTCTTGAAGTGAACTGCATATCTTGTCTTGAAAACAGCTACACATCAACAAAATATGCAAATCAAATCTTGTAAAAAGATCTGGCTTTGCAAATACCAAATGTTTCTTTACTGCAATCAATTGCTGAAGACAAAATTTAGACAGGTTGGCCCATACTTAAACCCCTGAGCGCGAAACATGCCAATCGGCATAAGTATAAAATATCATGACATTAACATGGCAACTGATATCCAAATAACTCACTAGTGGAATCATAAAGCTCTGAGTGAGCTCAACAAAATGGCGCCTCAAGAGTGCGTTCTAAAAAAGAACATAGAACAGTTGTTAAGGATATTAGTATCAAGGAAACTCTTAATGGAAAGTCAATCCAAAGGTTCTTCCTCTGTCAATATCAAGATAAAATTAAAATATCAAAACTAACTCAGTGATAGACAAGGCAACTGTTCAAAATGCAGTCTTCCTATTTTGTATGCTAGTTTCAAAGAAACAAAAATTGTATATTCAGAATGGAAGAAAAACAATAATTTGGAGATATTGAAGCAAGCCCCTGCATTTACGACACACCTCCAGGCCTTCTAAGGTAAACTGGGTCTTTGAAGTGTATCAATGGTTTACATGTAAAAGTAGTTTGGAAAACTGGACGATAAAACCATTTTATTACCAAGCAATTAATTACCACTAAATGGTGGCTGCGACAGGAACATAACATAGTCAATAGAAAAAACTCTTTCTATTGACTATGGTTTGAGTTACAAAATGTTCTGTTAGATGAAAGCATTTCGCATAAAGAAACTTGAAACTACTGCTTTTCATACATAGATATCTGGCAAGCTTTAAGCTGTGCCAGTAGGGGCAAGAAAGCCAGTGACAAGAAGATTCAATAACAATAATTAGAAATTAAAATCTTTTCTTACTTGGGCTTCCAAAGGCCTTGCACTGGAATAGCCCTAGACACGAATTGTATAACAACTAAATATTGCAAAAATTGAAATACACTAAAACAGATGTGGTTTATTGCTAGCATCGATCGTTTACGTTTCTATTTATTTCAAAAGCGGGATTAGCCTAATGAAAAAAATGAATGTTTATTAATTGTTCCATGACTTTAAAGCCGAAATGGTCCAATACTAGCCCAACAACAGTAAAACCTGTCAATTCAGTTGAAAAGGAATATGGACAAGAGATTGAGAAATTAATATCAAGGAAAAACGTAAAGGAATAAAAAACATAATGCAATGGACGAAATTTCCACATTGAAAACAGTTTTTGACAAAACCAGTGTATGATGTAAACACGCTACTTAACAATACTTAATAGATTGTCTTGAATACCTTAGCCAGCCTTTTGAGGACTTGCTTGTCTCTTTCAAGCATCGGTTTGTACTTGGTATAGACACCTGCAAAGGATGGCTATTTCAGTTCCACATTTGGCGCAAAAACAAAACACAAGGCCCTATTGCAAACATCACTTCAAATTTAGCAATTATAATTTGTGCTTCACAAAGATTTATATGTACAGTAAAAGCATTCGATGGTTTCGTATTTTTCGACGCTTACTACTTAACGAAGCTGATTTCTGAAGAAGAAAATGATTTAACGAGATATGGACAGTAATCGCTACATCTAACTGCTTTTATTTCGTAAACAGTGCTCATAAGCTCGACAACATACTAGAATATGCTGCCAATTCAGATCAAAGTCATCTAAAATGCTTAAACCACCGTCCTAGTGCCTGTAACAATCGCAAGAAAAAGAACAATAATCGACGAGCATCCTTCTTCTATCAATGCAGCGCTGAAAATTTCCCCAACTGATTCACGTTTCGGTGGAGGTCTTAATCTGAACGAGGCAGTAGCTTACCCAAAAAGAGATTATCATTTTTGATTATAAGGATTTATAAAACTGAAGTCGAAGAATGGGTTAAAAATAGAATGGATGAGGAGAAAAAGGAAACTCAAATTATTTGGAAATTGAGAACTTACGAACGAGAGCAAATTACAAACCTTGCTTGAGCTGTTGCTCTTTACGTCCAGAAGGCCCTGGGCCTGTCGACCTCGTTATCGCTAAGGAAAAGTTTATTGAAAATTTACAAAATGTTGAAAAAATTTTGCAACTTCATCATAAGTTTCAATTGAGACTTTAAATTATTCTTTGAGGTTTAAAGATATTTTTGCGCTTTAGAAATAGATTTTGAGATTGGTCCTTCTCGGCCACCGTATCTTTTCTATACTTTTTATCTACACTTCTTCTTACATGGCAACTAAGGCAAGATAGTTTTCAATTCCATTTTTGTAATTTAGTTCTTTTTAAAATGTAAAATTTTATGTAACATGAGTACCATATTCAGTCAGGACCAAATGTGACATCATGACTTTTACCACGGCGTATGTATTGATAATAAAGTTACTTTATTTAGATTTGATTTTAGGTGATGATACAAAAAATAAATTCATAATAACTATTGAAAAAAAGAATTAAGAATCAAGCTCAAGACGGCTTACTCAAAGTTGGCATTTCCCCAACTCTAATGATATGAGGCCATTGTTGCAACGTCTTTGCAAAAAATGGATTTGTTACACCAAGTAAAACCGGTGGCCTAATAGAACAAGAAAGGAGACATGAGGACCCTTTGAAAATAAATCAAAATCAGATAATGGAATAGTCATATCATTATTACTATGTCCGAAATACTGTACTGGAAAAAAGTTGATTTAACTCAAGAAACGGCCTGGAATGTAAATGAAAAAAGAGCAATATTCCTAAAATGAAATATGGAATTGTGGCGTCACCAAGTGCAAATAAAAATAGTGCAACACTTGAAAGGTGCTAACACTGTCGTCAAATCAAATGTTCTCTAATAGGGAAATGGCATAAAACATCGTCGCGCAATTGAAATAGAGAAACAATGGACTATATTGATGAATGTTCTCAATAAAGAGAACAAATCATATATGATTGGCAGCTAACAGACTTTTCTCACACGCAAGGTCTTTGCAAGTAGTAGAATTCAACCTAATATTGATTCCTAGTGTGAATTATATGTTCATTTTTAGTGTAATGGTTACATGGGCAATATGTGTCTTCATTCTTCTATTGGTGTCGTCTTGAAATATCCTAACTGTTTTTGCAAATTTTCCGAGAACTTAAAAATAAATGAAAGCCAAAAGAAATTTAAGTAAAGTTAGCCAAAAGATACGTTTTTCACCAGGATGATTGAAATGGAACAAGCTAAGAATGATAATAAGAGAGTGGCAACTGATTGGTTAGTAATATTAGAAGAGTAGCATTTGGCAAGAAGCTATGGTGCTGCAGTTAGAGCAAAAAGATGATACACAAAACAAATCATCGGTGATTAGAAAATCAGAGGGTAAACACTTACGGAAGCCGTGTCTTTGTTGTATACTCCTTAAAATCGCTGTCGTGTATCGTGAAATAAGGTCGAAAATCGCAAGAATACCGCAGTGGAAGTATAAGTCTATAAAAAAGAGCATACAATGAAGAAACAAGAAAACAAAAAAGACAATAGAGAGGCGGAGTGTGACGTCATCAAAAGCTATTTTTAGAATTTAGGAATTTTGACTCCATAACCTGAAAAACACTATGTAACAATTCTATATATGCAAAATCAGTTGAATCTATTCAAAACTGACCGAGACTGTTGTTTTGGTCTGGTTCAAAGATGTAAGACCCAGGTCTAAACTACCGTGATTTGGTGGGGAAAGAACCCGTGCTTATGTGGCAATCTCTCATTGAATTCGCATCAGATTCAACTGATTTTACATACAAAGTGGTATTTCTTGGTTATTTTTTCGGATATGGGATCAAAATTCGAAAATTCTAAAAATAGATTCTTGTGAGGTCATAACTCCGCCACTCTATAGGCTGAATGCCAACACGATGAAGGGGATTTATCGAAATAAATAAACTGGCTCACTGTTTAACAAGTTATATAAAATATGCATTTACATTTCTTTACATAGGCATACTTATGCAAGCAAAAAATAAGAATTTGGAAATTCATAATACAGTTAAATTGTCATCGATTTTTTAAATCAATCTTATATTCAACCTGCAACTGTTTTTTGTGAACAGCTTATACCGAAGCAAAAGAGATGATCCCATTTTTAAAAGGAAATTTTTTATCAAAGTGCCTGTGAGGGACATTAGATTAAAACTGCAAAAGCAATTACAAGAAGAGTTACGACTGATTAGAGATAAGTATAAAACTGAAGAAACAAGTTTTGGGCTTAGTATGCTAAATTCATTTTAGCACGGGCTCTATACATTAGAACAAGAAAAACTTACCCAACTAAAGCCTGGATTGTTTCAGAACACATTTTTGGGGTTGGCGCCATTACAACGACCGGCTATTAAGGCAAAAAATTAAAGCAAATTCAGCTTTGTATGTTCTCCTCAAAATAAACATTAATGTTTTCGGCAAGATATTCTAGATAATTAAAAATGGCAAATAGGACGTTAGGCTTAACTACCTACATTTATTTAGTTTATCAGGTCATTGAAGATATGATTCGACCATGCAGTTTTTCATTGACATAGATTCCTGAACCATAAATAAGCCGGTTTTTACTCAAAACTATCCTATGATTTCTTGTCAAGAAACAAATGAAAAGCTAACGAAATGGAAAAGAACGAAGAAGATCTAAAATAACAATGTACAAAAACAACAAAATAGCAGAACCGTATTGTGCTGACCTCTCCAAGAAGTACAAGCTCCCAAAGTAAGTGAATATGAGGCAGAACTGGGATAAAGGCTCTGTGGGACAAATGTGCGAATGAGAAATTGTGAGGGAAACGAGGCTTTTCAGTTAAGTTTATTGTTAATTGATGTTTTTATAACATCAAGTAACATTACTGAGAAAAATCGCGTGAATAACTTTTTTTCTTATAAACTGAAAATTTCGTCGAAGTTTAAATAAGTTAAGACTTAAACACATATCAAAATTGTTTAGCTATTGCCTAAGTATCCTAACGATTTTCCTGCAGAAAAAAGATGGTCTCTATTTCAAGCCATTGCTTATATAAGATACGGCTAAAATTCGTATAAGAAAAAGTCTTTAATGAATGATTGATTATTGAAACCTTGATTGATGAATGATTATAATTGACGAAATGCCTACAAAAGTATCGAAGTCATTGCTGTCCTCCCAAAAGTTATTACAGGTGAAAATGGTGGTGGACAGCAAGAAAATACCACTAGCGCTTTTCATCATAGAAATGCAGTGAAGTGCCTGAATAGTTAAAATATATTATAAAAAATTCTTTAGACTTACTTGAATATATTGATTTCATTGAGGTTTGGAAATATTTGCAGAGGAATCTAAAGAAAGAAAAAGCATGTAAAGAAAATAATTGAATCCGCTAATAAGGCTTGTAGGTATTTGACAGTAATCAATGCTGCGAGGGAGCAAAGATGAGGAAATATACTTACACCAACTTGCTTGCCTATTTCCTTTTCAGGTGAGGCAACGGCTCCAGGCTTGTCTTTCTTTGAGGGTATTCTTAACTGAAACAAAAAGGCATAAAGCGACGTGAACGACCCAGCAAAGGATAGGCTTGTGAACACAAGAGTACGTTTGGTTCATGCTATTGAAGTATACTAAGCTATAAAGGTGTAATTTCTTGAGATTGAATCTAAAGGAAAAAAGGGGAAGGCCAATAGGAAAGGGGTTAAATATGACATCAGTTGACATGCGTTTGAAAAGAGATTTATATGCACACAGGTTGAACTTATTTTTAATGAGCTAATGAAACCCGTTTTTGGCTGTTCTCATGATGAACTATCCAAGTGGCCAGAAAGAAACATTTCTGTTCCAAGCTGTTATTCACCTATGCAGATGAATGGCTCCTTCACTTTTACCCACATTATCCAAAACCTACATCAGTATTGTGTCTACCAATGCGCCAATAGATTAAACCATAAGGGGTTTCTGCTGATACTCTGTGTTGCAGCAACCTTAATTCCATCAACCCTGAGGACATCTTTAAAGAACTAATGACCAGTGCAACTAGAGGTGTTGAAAGTCATTTCAATGAACAAATGCATCAACAATAAGATGAAGTTGCTATGGTTAGCACCTATGTTCCGCCATTAGCAAACATTTTCGTCTGTTTTGCCAAAAAAGGATTTTCTTAAAACAATTGATTTATTTTCAGTTTGCGATGACACTTTTGTCATTTGTAGCTGAGAGCAGGAATGTTTCCAGAAAGCTCTCAAGTTTACTATTGAAAAGGAGCAGAAGAACTCCTTAAGCTTTCTTAAAGTTTTAGTACAAAAAGAAGGAGTTGGATTTCTAGCCAGAGATGTAGGAAAGCAACTTTTTCTTGGCAATATGTTTGTTGGAATTCTCTTAGTCCAAAAGAAAGGAAAATTGGTTTGTTAAAAAGGGGAAGCATAGAGCCTAAAGGGCATCAGTGATTCGCTCCAAAACTAAACCAGTTCCTTGGCGTGACAAAATCAGAAAAATTCCCCTGGATAGCGGTTACCAAGAAAATGTCATTTTGACCTATTTTAGTGGAATACTACAGTTCCTTTACAGAAATTGGTAGTTTTAGTATGGTAAAAGGTTTGGTCCCCAAACCTGTCCTGTATATCTAAAGATACCTTCGATTGCAAACATTTCCTTAAAATTTAAGTCAAATAAAAAATGGCCACAACATATTTTTTTCCACTTCGAAGCCTTATCTATAGTACTAAGGTCGTACTTCCGCCCATTAAAATGGACTGCGCTCCTACCAATCAAAAAAGTGTGGTCTCCAAAAGCAATTAGACGATAGAATAAAAAAGCATTCTGTTGCGAGTATCAGACAAAAATGGGTTCTAAATCATTAGTTATTGGATTCAACATATAAAAATTCCCACTGTATGAACTAAATAAAGGTTCTTGTGTGCGGGTTTTTACTGTATTAATGGCAAAAAAGGTTCGGCGGATCATAAATCACCTGCAATACACTGCCAAGAAGCGGCAACTGCAGCGTCTGACCAGGACACGGCAACGACCATTTGTCCATTTGATAGCACACAGTTTCCATGGCTGCATCACCATTCTCAAAATACTCTGGCGCTATCATTTTGATCTGTGAATAATTATCAATTATTAGGAATGGCCTTCTCTTTAACGGAGGAACTGAGTGGCCAAACTTCAAAGCTTGGTTTCTTGAAGAAACGAACAAAAAGCGCCTTCGAAAAAACGAATAAAGAGCGCCTTTGTCAGACTAACCAAACCTTCACAGACAGACTGATGACTCTTTAATGGCATCAACACCGTGAAATCAAAAAGTGGTTCATCTATCTTGAACATTTTTGGCAAACTGTAATACTTTATGATAAAATGTGGCCACCTCATGGGTACATTACAGTTAAAGTTATCAGCATAGCATACAAATGCAGGATAGCGAAAGATTAGGCCAGGATTGAATCCGATACAGTTTCCGTTGTAGGAGTGTTTAGAGGTAGCTTGTAGCAGACTCAAGCTTCACAAAAGAAATTGGGGGAAAGTAAGGAGCGTTCCTTGTTTTGGAGAGCTCGTAATTTGAAAGGAACATGAACGGTGGTTTGAATACATTCATCTATGGTGACCATTTAACTTGAAGCATTTATTAAGACTGGACGAAGACAATCTGTATAATGGAAAGAAGATCACTCATGTTTCTCACGCCATGCTGATGTTTCAGTAGCACCAAAATGTTCTGGTATCATTAAGAATTATTAGTACTACGAAAGATTATCATTCTCAAACAATAATATAAACATAACAGAAACATGTACAAAGTCAAATCAAGCAATTACGCGCGAATCAAGGGACATAAACATACCAAATGACTGAACAGATTCACATATGGCAATTGGCTGAGAAGAACAACGGACTGGAAAGAAAAATAGCAACAATTATATAAAAGCTCAGCTTAGTTTCAGCTCTTCCTTATGTTGAATAAATAAAAATCATTTCCACTATATTAGTTTATAGAATAACAGACAAATGCTTAAGAAGCATTTGATACGGTAAATTAAAAGCATTTTCCTCATACGAAGAATGGAATACGATTACTCTTTAAAAAATTAGACTTATTGTCTCAAATGTTTCATTGTGTTGATCTTATAGATCAAGTACAGTGGGTCTTTGCTAATTCATTAATCAACTTTATAATGTCAACAACTAAATGCATTGTTACCAACGAAATGGTAAGTCAGCTCTTTCTGGGGAGCACTGGAGAATTTGTGTTAGAAATTATAAGTTAATAAAAATACAATATTTGAAAGTGATATATAAATTTGGAAGACACTCAAGCAAAAATGTACAAGAAACAGCTTAGCCTACCTTTTGAAAGTATCCCCTTTTCAGACTTGGATCTTTGACTTGGCGAAAGAAAACAAAGCCATAATAATGGCTGCTGTCTTTCTGAAAAACAAATTTATGAGACAAAATTAGGTCAAATACACAGGAAACAGTAAATAAATATATGAGACAATATCAGGTCAACCAGAAAACTGAAAAACTTGCTTGAAAAAATAGCCCTCTTCTAGCCAGGCATTGTTCAGATCTATAAGTGAACTTCCTGCATCCTGGAAATCAAGCAATATTTGAAAAAAGAACAACAACTCACCTTTTAAACACATTATTTAAAAAAAAACAATCAAAAAGGTCCACGTTTCTGATTGATCACTCAAGACAAGATGTTGTTTTTGATACTTGAAGCCTTGCATAAACTATGTTTTGTTTATATTAATATTCATGTAGGGGGAGGGTGTTATAAACTGTCCGCTTTGCACAGCCATGTCACATTAGTATTTATGATGTATTAATTGTTTGGAATTTTAATGATATCCATTTCAATAGTTACCAATGGAGATGTATTGTCTTGTCTGTAAAATCTTCCTCTGAAAATTTCCTAGCCAGATTTTTTCATGAACCCTTATTATCATGAATTAATTGGGACTGATCATTCCATGAATCATTCTGAAAACTGTAAGTTATTTTGTTTATCATACCTCTCCCTCTTTTGGGAGACAATCTTCTTGATAAACATTTCACACATAATATAAAGAAACTCTTGTAAGAGAAACCCTATGACACCATATAAAACTTCCATATGTTTCTGGGGGCCCTTATATATTTCTGGGGGCCCTTATATATCTATGGATTAAAAAATCTAATAAAAAGTCCCACTTGTTATAAATCTGCTGAAAATCCCTCTTCCATTGATATGTTTCTAACGAATAAAACCTCTGGTTTTCAAAACACTACGACAATAGAAGTGGGATTGTCTGATTTTCATCTAATGATACTAACAGTGTTAAAGAGTGGTTTTGTAAAAAGAGGTCCAAGGATTGTGACATACCGAGACTACAGTAAATATGATCCTATAAAGTTTCGCAGTGACCTTAGAAGCAATCTAGCTAAGAGCAGCGAAGCATACTCTGAATATGAAAATTTTAATTCTGTAGTCGAAGAAGTTCTGAATAACCATGTACCTCTAAAACAGAAATATTTACGCGCAAATGATGCACCCTTCATGACGAAAACTTTAAGAAAGGCAATTATGCTCCGTTCACAGTTACGTAACAGATTAAACAGGCATAATACTTCTGAAAACTGGAACGCTTTTAAAAAGCAAAGAAATAGGTGTGTGAAAATTCTGCGACAAGCAAAAACGTCATATTATGGTAACCTTGATATAAATTCTGTCACTGACAATAAAAAGTTCTGGAAAACTGTAAAACCACTTTTTACTGACAAGGTACAAACCTCTTCAAGTATTACGCTTATCGAAAATGAAAAGTTTATTACGAATGACAGTGAAATAGCTGAGATCCTTAATGAATTTTTTACAAATATCACAAAGACAATTGACATTGCCCCTGGTGAATGCATTCTCAATTCGACAGACCATTTGCTGGATCCTGTTGAAATTGCTGTTGAAAAATATAAACATCATCCCAGCATCCGCAAGATTAAGGATAAGGTAAACCATGGCACATTCTTCGAATTCAAACCAATTACAATGCAGGCAGTCAATGATGAATTATTGAGACTAAATACAAAAAAAGCGTCTACAATTGAAAGTATTCCTCCGCGGATACTGAAAGAAAACGAAGACATTTTTGCACCATTACTGACGACAATTTTCAATAATTCATTGCTCCAGAAAACGTTTCCTGAAGATCTTAAATTAGGAGACATAACTCCACTATTCAAAAGTGACAAAACTACAGAAAAACGAAACTATCGACCTATCACCGTTCTATCCGCATTATCAAAGGTCTTTGAACGGCTTCTATATGCTCAGATGGTCGACTTCGCGGATACGTTCCTACTTCCCTACTTATGTGGTTTTCGGAAAGGTTTCAACACACAGCATGCGCTGTTGAGATTAATGGATATCTGCAAGAATTCCCTAGATAAAAAAGGGGTGGTTGGTGCCTTGCTAATGGATCTCTCAAAAGCGTTTGATTGCATAGACCATGAGCTATTAATTGCGAAATTAAATGCCTATGGTTTTTGTAAAGATGCTCAATTATTGATTTATAATTACCTGTCCGGTAGAAGACAAAGGGTAAAATTAAATGGTTCATTCAGCACTTGGCGAGAAACCTTTGCAGGTGTACCACAAGGATCAGTCCTTGGGCCTCTTCTCTTTAATTTATATATTAATGATTTATTCTTAATGGTAACTGATACTGCAGTATGTAACTTTGCTGATGATACTACGATTTTTGCAGCTGACTGTCAATTAGATAAAGTTTTAGAACGGCTAGAAACTGATGCTCTTATTTTATCAAAATGGTTTCCAGAAAACTTTATGAAATTGAATGCAGGGAAATGTCATCTTCTTACTTTTGGAACAAATCAAGATGACTTTAAGCAGGCCTTGCTCTAAGTAAAATGAAGGTGCTCCATAAAAAGAGCCCCTTAGAAACTCTAGGCGCTCTATTTCGCACCTCTAAGTAAATTTCCTTGAGAGCATCCTTCGAGAGCTTTAGAAGATCGGGAGCTTCATATCAAAAGCTTCAGAAGAATGTTAAATATGAAATTCAACGGTGATACCAGAAAGCACCATAATATGAAATAACAAAACATGCAACAAACACTATGTTAATGTAAATATATAAATATAACAGAACAAAGTCGCAAAATTGTTCATGTTTTTCTAAATATGTAAGTTGCCATCATGCGGTGAGCTTTTATCAGTGTCAGTATCACTACTGTTATGTTCAGCTTCACATATTGCTTCATCAAAACGCATGGCTTTAAATCGAACATTTAACTTTGTTTCCTTTTTTCATGTTATCCATTCTATAGAAACGCTAGAACATCTACTACTCGCAAAAGCAAATGAAAAGCAATGCGATAATTTGGACGGAAATGTGATCGCTGATTTGCACAGGCGATTTTAAGTTATTAAGAAAAACAGAAAATAATATTTACTTCGATAGAAGATTAACGCTTGCTCGAAAATCAAATAAATCTGCCGGAGAATACGCTTGATGGCCTGTATTCTTGATGGTTATTAGAGGGTTATTAGATTAAAAATGATATCGAAAACCCAACGTTGAATTAGCTGAATTTTTTCTCAAGGGGTAATCTTACGCAAATCATAATATTGCGGTCTGTTGGGAAGATTGTTTATGCTTGCTCAAGTTGATTCAACAAATTCCAAAAATTTATTTTGCTCCGTGTTAATATTGTTTTTACGTTTTGAGGGGCTCTATAAATCGCTCTCCATGGCTTTTTTTGGGTGCGCTCTAGGCGCGCGCGCTCGATCGAGCGCCTTTCCGGGCAAGGCCTGTTTAAGATCAAAATCGGTGAGGCCATTGTTGAAGAAAGCTCTGAAGAAAAACTGCTAGGGGTGATAATAGATAAAAATCTTAATTTCAAAAGTCACGTCTCAAATTTATGCAAAAGAGCCAGCCAAAAACTGCATGCTCTTGCTAGAGTTTCGCCATTTATGGGTTCTGATAAACTGCGTCTCCTAATGAACAGCTTCATAAAAGCTCAGTTTAGTTACTGCCCCCTAATTTGGATGTTCCATGACAGATGTCTGAATGCTAAAGTAAATAAAATCCACGAAAGAGCACTCAGAATTGTTTATAAAGACAGTCATGCTGACTACGAAGCATTGCTGACTTTGGATAATGCAGTATCAATTCACCAACGCAATCTACAGTACTTGATGATAGAAATATACAAAACCAAACATAACCTGAACCCTAGTTTCATGAGTGAGATTTTTGAAACAAGAAATGTACATTATGATTTGCGAACTAAAAATAATCTTTGCATTCCAAAAGCCAGGACAACTTCTTATGGTATAGAAACTGTGAGATATTTAGGTCAAAAACTGTGGCAAACACTACCTCACAGTATAAGAGAGTCCCAATCATTGGCAACATTTAAAAAAGAATTAAGAGAACACCCTATAGAATGCGACTGTAGATTGTGTAAAAAATTTATTGCTGGGTTAGGTTTTATTTAGAACCTTATACCTTAAACCTTTTTAATATTGTATCATATATTTTTATTTCATACTAACTCTTATTAGATAGTTGGCCTTAATTAGCTTCTTTATAGCTATCAACCGTTCATTTAGTACGCCAACTTTAAACAAATTATTTATTATTATTATATTATTATTATATATTTCTGGGGGCCCTGATATCCTTGTGGGACCCCAGGCTTGGGTCTGCTGGGCCAAGTAGGAAGCATATTGAACAGACTGCTTTTCAAGTACATATTTAACAGACCTCCAAAAAGTAGAACTGCTAAGAAATATTTTCAAAGACTTGTTGCTAGGAAGAGCAATCTGAAAAGATTAATTGCTTTTTGTTGAAATATTTTTCCAGGCAGGGACAGTTCTGGAACACCAATATCAATATATAGGAACAAATAACATTATGAGGCTGATAGGATGTTCTGCTTCAATTAAATTTTTCAGAGTTGCAAAGTTTCAAAGTTGCATTCATTCTCAATAGGAGAATATTCCTATCATTTTGTAACAATGTTTAGATGATGTTGGTATGACAGGAGCAATATTACCTGCCTGCCTTTATATTTTGGTACTTTGAGCAAAACAGGCTACAAATCATTTGTATGAGATTGTGATTCCTAGATAATGTGGTATACAGGAACATTGGAGCGACCAAGAGGCAAGGGGGAGCAGGCTTCAGTGAAAGGAATTTGAAAAGTAATTCTCAGATTCTACTTATTCTTTAGTAACTATAACTTTATTTGGATTTTCCATAGGCATCTTCTAACTGATGTCATAAAAAAAACATTCTTACAAATTTTGATAAATTATGTGGTGAACTACAGTCACAAAATCCAAAGGACTGGTGTCAAGGGCACTTTTTTGAAAAGGAAACTTTGGTCCCCTTGCCCCTTCTCCCAAAGTGCAAGGTGGGCGATTGCCTCCTGCATCCCCCTCACTGGTATCCTTGGTGGAAAGGAATGAGTTACATAACCTACAAACTTTTTAGTTCAAGGAAGCAACTCACATACATGTAATACAAAATAAAAATGAAAAAAAGACTAATGAATATTAACAAACCCTAAGATAAACTGGCAGTTCTCTCTCTGTATTTCTTGGCACCTTTTCTACTGCAGAAGATGGAGATAATCGGATTCTAAAATGAAACTGTGTGTCTCCCATGCAACCTACAAAAAGGAATTAATGATCAATTATAAAATGTTGTCAGTTATATGGTAAACTTTATATCATAAACAAATTACCAAACTTTGCTACCAAAGTTTACAATGAAATTGTTGTTTATAGTATAGTGTAATGCTAAAGTATCTTATTTTGTACTTCAAAATTGTATATATGTTATAAATAATATAGTTATTAGCATTGGTTTACAAAAAATGAGTATGCATATAAGCGAGTAAAGATGGGTAACAATAAAAAATAATTAGAATGTAGCTGCTCACCAGTATTTGAATCAGGAAATGCAAGGTAACAAACATTTGCCCTCTAAATAAAAAGAAAAATTTGATGCATAAACAAAAACCAGGTTTCACTTTGTGCCTTATATTTTACTTTGCACAAGGTTGCCACCAGTCCTGCATAAATTACACAAAGAAATTAAGAAAAATGATATATGTACATTATAAGGAACCTCAAGCTATACATTACTAGACAAGGTTACTTTGAGGTATGATTAAGGGTATCATCAAAGAAATAGAATAAAATCACTTTGATATTCTAACAATATACTGGCCATCTTTTAAAAAGACAGCTGGGATGATAAACAATCTTATATACAATCTTAGCCTTATTCTACCTAGTAACTAAGGATGAACTTTAGATAAAATGAAAATCAGGTTCCTGAATAGCCTTCAGGCCCATCGAGAAACTTTATTTTTAACGGTATGATTCTTTACAATACTACTTGGTAATGAAAACTTAAATGATTGTAACATACCTCCTTTTCATCAAGTTCAACATGATTTGGAAAGGTTTTCTAGAAGAAATGATTACATTAAAAGCATTTAAATGTTCAAATTCAGAAACATAAAACCTATCCTATAACCTCGGGCAGGTATTTTCTTAAGAAATAGCCCACGCGAGTGGCCCATCACTTGTGTGATTTCTCTTGCGCAAGCGATCGCTCTGATAGTGAAAAAGTTGTTCCTGTTTTAAGGTACCTTTGTTTAAGGTAATATCAAATGAAAATGAATGGTTGCGATGATTTGTAATGCACTCCAAGAAAGACTATATAAGTATGCTTTGTTTATGAACTTTATGTACATCACGAAGGTCACCATAGATGTAATTGACGGACGATCGCAAAATGTTGTCCCATACCTTTTAAAATTGTTTTAACTGCCCAAAAATTGTTTCAAGTGCTAATGTAGTTCAAATACCAAGTACCTAAGGTATGCATAAACATTTACGGTGGAATTGATTTTCAAATGAATTTTTTCGTTGAGGTGTGGTTAAGTCAACTTATTTATATTTCCTATGTTTTGATGCTTTGTTCAGAAAAGATGACTAGAATTGTGTTAATTGATGAGACATTTATTCCTCACAATTTAGCGTTTTGCAAGAGCGATTGAATGCTCGCGTAGTTTGGTTTGAACAAGCGCTGACGCGATCGCAATTGTATATTAGCTTTTTCTTAAGAAAAGTTAAGTGTCTATATATTTTTGATAGAGTTTAAGCCCAAAATTCTTGGTTCAAAATGCAACAGTTAGATAAAATTGATGGAAATTAAAAATAAAGAAAGAAAAAAAAAGAAAATAACTATTCACTAATCAGTTCAATACTGAGTAGGTTGAAATCTTAGAACAATTATTAAAGTATCATTCAAAAGCTATTTCAATGCATTTGATAGGTAAATGGCTTTCAGTTTTGTTGAAGTATAGAGCCTCTAGAGGCAAGGAGTTTCAAAGCTAGGTCTATTCTAACTCGACCTGATATCATCAATAAGCAACACAACAAGGTCTAATCGAGCCTGCTAGGTTAAGTAAACAGTGCTTTATTCAATGTATGCTCGATCAGAGTGTTACTAGGCTGTAGATTATCATCATGCATTTCGAACACAAATCTTATTTCGAAGTCTTACTTTTATTTTTACCTACATGAAGTCTTATTTTTTATCTAGTTTCAAGAGGTCTAAGACTTTATGTTTGGCTTTATTGATGTTTAACTTAATATATGCTCGACCAGAGTGTTACTAGGGTATATAAAATCATGCATTATAATAAAGATGCAACTCTCACATTTACCTCTATGACTTGACCGAGCTCTAAGTCAAATGTAACAATGCAAAAGCATTTGATCCAGCAATTAAAGTTTTCCCATGTCAACAACTTTCTGTCTTCGTCTTTGACAACAAAATCACAATAATTCAAAGGCGTTAGCGGCAGTGTTAGGCCGCTCTCCGCCATTTGTTTTGACAGCTGAGGTCACGCGCCCCTTCGCAGCACAGAAGCTTCAAGGAAACTTGGCGAGGCCTCTATGTGAAAAGGAGGACAAAACCATGTGACAGAGCAGACAACAAAATGGCTGGCTAACGAAGGGCTCACTCTATTCGGAAATGGCTTCATCACAGGACTTACTTCATGTTGACCCTACAAAAGGTTAGAGATATTTGATAATTTAAAATGGCATTTGTCTCCTTATCAAGGAAAATTTCGGAAAATACACTAGATATTTTATGGCGGCTTATGTTGAACATGATTTTTGTATAGTTCGATTGGCACCGTTCAGAATTTGCATTTGAAGCTTCAGTGAAGTCATATACTTTAAGACATTGTTCTTTCTAAAAAGTGGGAAAGTTAAGGGCGCATTAAGTTGCCTATCACTTGTCTTGTTTTACATTCCATCGTTCTTTAATCTTGACAATAAAAATGAAATTATTGAAACTTGTCAAGATCCAGTATGGATTCCATGTCAATTGCACTCCCGATCAATTTTTGTAAAATTACGAGTGTACTCTCGAACACCCGAAAGATCGGTGTGGTTTTAGGTGGGGCTCAAATAAAAAGCTTTTTCAAAATGACAAAATGACTTTCTAAATTTGTTTGCAACTGAGATTGAATTTAAGAGTGTCATTCTATAGATCTAAATTAAATGACCTTGAGATGGTTGGCAAGAGATTATTTGAGTGGCCCTGGGTGAAAACAAAAAATACAGCCCCATGCGAGCGAAGCGAGCAGAAAATTTTTGATCAGGTTCTTTAGATTAGCTTAAATACACTTCTGAATATTTTTCGCAGTCATTTTCTTGCAATTGTTTAAAATGTTTCCTTAAGGCATATATCTGTTACGTTTTATTGATTCCATTCTTAAAATAGAATTTCTTTAAAATGCTCCCTAGACCTCATGGCCCTTAGACAATTTGCCCCCTGTCCCCTTCTTGGCATCCCTGCATGAGATAATCCTTTTGGATGATCATGCCTTTGGCCTTTGTAAACATTATTTTGAAAATGATTCTTTTACTTACCAATCCTTTAGGAATTTGAATAACAGCCACTGAATAACAGAATTTGAAAACTCTAAATCATTGAATTTTCCTGAGATGTAAAATTAATGTAAATAGGATAAGTGCCCGGAAAATATGCACACATTCAAGAACCACTGGCAAATTTGGTTCACATGCAAACATGCACACTTATCACAAATGCACTCTTGCACTCCAGGGTAATATCTTGTGTACTCCCAAGATTTTGTCGAAAACTACACCAACAAAACTATGCAGAGATGCTTGGTTTACGATGACAGACCAAAAACTGATAAAAACCTGATAACTTGTTTGAACCAAAAAAAGACATAGCAGTTCTACCAACAACAATATCATCCAGCATGGTTTAATCAATAACACCTCAAAGCATTTTTCCTGCATTTATCACCCTTCAATTTTAAGGAGGCAGGAAAGCTTGGCAGGAACTGAGTTGAACAATATTATCCATCCTTGTTTGTAAGCCACCCTTGATTATAAACTGCAGCAAATCATGACAGAAATGTTTACAAGCCATGGCCTGTATTTGAATAAATACGCCATTTGTGCATAATGTGACACTATCAGCTGGAGCCTCCAAACCATGTTATTCTCCAAGAATTCTGGCTCTGCTCAGATATTTGAAACACAGTCAACTTGCAAAAACCAATCCAAGACTTTGTCTTCTTTGAAAATCATGGACTACAAAATGATCAGGATCAGGAGACTATGATTTTATCCCTAGTTGCATTTGTAGGATAAAACTGTTTTAATTATAAAAAAGTCAATCATTGGTTAAGTTATATTGCTAGAAATTTGCCCTATTCTGAATGGGAACCAAACAAAGATGGAATCGAGTTGATGAAAAAAGCATCACATTTTGAACATCAGATTCGCTTTCAAAAGAATAAATCAACCTCAATGGTAATTTCAGATCTCCAAAAAATGAGGAACATGTTCAAAAAGGGCATTGCTTCATGTTGTATTTTTCTGGATTTTTGTAAAAGATTGGACACAGTGAATTGAAAAATTCTGGATAAACATGATTGTATTAAAAATGTTGCAATCGACTGGTCAATATCAAATAAATTACAATTTGAAATTAAGAAAACAAAAAAGATCTACGTACAGATATATGAAATTTACAGATAGAAGTTAAAAACGTAGACTAAAAACACCCCAGGTTAAAAATGGCAGGGATAGCATTAAAAAGATCAATACAATCTTGTTTGGCAAGATTTCTGATAATCTCGTCATTAAGTGTGGAGTTCTATCCCTAAATGTATCTAAATCTAGTTTTCTCTTGACTCACTCGTGTATAAAAAACGAAAGAAATCCAAATTGGAAACTTCTAATCAAATGAGTAAATGTTAAGGCATTAATGTCTAGGTGTGATGATGTATTGTACAAAATAATGAATTGAGTTACACATAACATTCTTAAAACTTCATACTTCTTTCATTCAACCTCATACACTTTATGGCACTTAATTGGGGCTGTGCTAGCAAATCTACTCTTGAGCAACAAAACCAGAAATATTAAATAGCTGTTAGAGCCATTTGAATCATTAAAAAACACTACAATTTCAAAAAATACCTTCTGACTAGTTATCATATTCAACTGACTTTAAAATGATTTGAAGTATTTGTATATATTCAATATCCATTCTACATTTTGTGCTTAAAGTTTTGTTTATAGGCCTGTTATAAAGTGCCTGACACCGCATAGGCCAAGATGTACATGCTTTTGGCCTATAGAACAGGACGGTTTTAAGCTAACATCAATATCAAAAGCAAACCACTCAATTATGTCAACAACACAACCTAAGGGACAGCCAGCCTTCCAGGGTCTTTCTTTTTTTCCCTTGATATTGTATATTGTTAAATTTTTAAATAATTCATTTTAGTATTAGCCACTGTATATAAGTATATATTGTTAAAAATGAATGTTCAAGTTGACTTGACTTGACTAGACTTGACTTGACTTGACTTGACTTGACTTGACTTGACTTGACTTGACTTGACTTGACTTGAGATTGACTTCAGTTTGACTTCAGTTTGACTTGACTTTTTGAGTTAGTTGAGTTAGTTGAGTTAGTTGAGTTGAGGTGAGTCAAGTTCATGAGATTAGCTCAAGGACAGAAGGTCTTGCTCTTCATGCCTTTTTTAAGAAACCAGTTTTATAAGAAACAGGGTATAGGTGTCTAATCATAGAAAAGAATCAATTCCATACCATCTGCTAAAGAAGGATTTTCAAGCAGTATCTTCAGGTTGAAAGGGAATCGAACTATGGTTTTCTATTTTTTTGGTCATCTTAGAACTTGGTTTATTGTAGACAGTTTCTTATAAGAATTGTGTGTGTATTACAGCTATAGAGAAAGTCATAAATTTGCTCTTAATGGGATCATAGTGCACATATTTTCACCTTTAGTCTGATCATTTTAACAAGTTTACTTTTACTATTGCCACACTAAAATGAAAAAAGCCTATGTGTGTGATGTACAGTTATCATAAGGTCGATAGACACTGTTATGACACAGCTTTTGGTTCTTGATTGCCATGAAGTGCTCAGTTTCTCAAATATGATTTGGGCTCCAGAACAAAACAGTGTAAGGTAACCATGTATTTGTGGTAGAAATGTAAGATTACAAATGACTTTGAGTATTGAACTGATGAGAAGTGTTGCAAAATATTAAAAATACAGGCTAGTACTTGAATGTAGAATGGAATCTCAATATAATTAGATATGCAGATTTGTTCTTATCAGTTAGTATTATCAAATCATAACTTTTTTCAAAAGTGTTTTCCCCACAAGTTTAGTTTCTTTTCAGCCGGGTGTGTTAAAAGAATTGAAAGGACCGGATGTTTGATTTGCTTAAATCGGATATTTGGCATATTTGGGGCTGGTTATAGTATAAACCACTTTTAGTTTACTTTTTTTTCTTTTTGAATACCTTGTCTTTATTTAAGGAAGTAACACGTCAGAGTACGACAGCTTTTTAAAATGCTCTAATTCAATTTTTCCTCAGCCCATTTTTACAGTAAAACAGCAATGTAGTCCTCTTGATCAAGGAATGGAAGTGAGGCTCTTGAATTTGTTAGAAGCGTTATTATTACCACCAGCGTTGAAAGTGACCAGAACAGAGAAATTGTGCCCCTTCTAAATCTGATAATTGTGTGGCTACATTCCGTTCAAGTAAATTTCAGTTGTGCCTTTTTGGAGCCTCAGCCCCTGTCCTTGACAAATTCTAGACGCGTGTAACTATGACGTCATCAAACTCGAGATATCTCAGAAATTAACAGTTTTGGATACCAGGATTAGAAAGATTTCATTTCGAGAGACGATAAAACCAATACCATCTAGCGTTTTCAGTCTTTTACAATGGGTAAGCATTCACTGGTTTTCTCTGGAAATTGTCTGGTGATGACTTAAACTGAAGTATTTTCATGGTGCTTGGTACTGCTAACTGCTGTTACTGGTATGGCAGCAACTGTCCTCGTCTCTGTCTTATAATCCATTTTCCTTTGCCCAAAGCACTCTAACAAGTGCTTCATGCTGCGCTGGTTCACGTAGAAGTAAATGACTGGATCCAGAATGACATTCAAGTAGAGAAGAAATGTGGAAATGCATAAAAAAACATATGTCTCTTCCATAAAAAGGTAAACAACAAATGGGATTTGACATATCAAGAACATTATCGTTACAGCCAGGGAATGCAAATAAACTTTTTTATTGATTCCATTTGAAGAAGATGCTACTGAATTGCGCTTTTTCATATGAAAGAAAAGCAATAGATAAGAAGGAATAAGAACAAGGCCCGATGAAATAATTACACATTGCACAAGAAGGTAGCTGGATGGCATTGTCCACGGAAAACTAAGAAGAACAGAGACGGTCCAAATGACAAAAATTACAATAAGACACTGTTTTCTTTTGAAGAAAATTCGAAACTTTATTGGTCTGAAAACAGCCAACAGTCTTTGGATAGCGATAAATGAAACATGGAGGGCTGCAGAGTTCACTGCAAACGACATTACAGTTGGCCCAATTTCTAGTAAATAACCTGAGTCAAGTTCGTATCCAACTATAACGATTGATATCCCATGGATTATCATACCCATCGCTGCCATGACATCTGCAATGCACAGACTCAACACTGAGACGTCAAAATTACGAAAAAGCTGTTTTTTTCGAATGGTAAGAACAAGTTGTAGGAAGTTAGTGACAAGAGCCATAGAGCCCAAGACTATGCTACTGCAATACAGGAACTTGATTGTTGTCTCATTCATGATATTAAGACTGTCCCAAGAAGACTTCCCAATCAATCAGAACATGCACTTTATTTGTCAATATCGACTCATATTGATTCTGTTTATCTCCCTACCAAACGAACTTTAATTATCATGTCCGATTATCTGTTTCGGTAGTGTTGACTTCAAATCAGCGTTCATCTTGAGTAAATGAAGGTTCAACTTGTCATGATTTGAGCAGGAAAGGAGGCGATGCTAGTGGTGGCTTCTAATTCATGTTTACGCTTGTCGAAAGATACGGGAAAACATTTCGTTGAGAGTTGCCATGCTGATTGGTGCACTGTCAAATGTACAAGCAGGAATCTGCAGGTGCAGCCATAGAGTTAATTGAGCATAATGTGTTGTAGTTGAATAAAGAGATTGGATAGCAAAGAATTGGATGTGCCATCTCGGGGTTCGCGACGTCATGATGGAATCATGTTGTTCGACAGCTATTTCAAATCGCTCAGGTGAAGCAAGCTCGAAAACTCATGGTGAATAGAGGCTTTTCTTCCATTAGTTCGGCCGTAAAACTTCTTTAGAATAGACAAACAAACTTTTAAAATGAAAATCTGAATTTCCTTGAACGTCATGATGGAATCATGTTGTTCGATAGCTATTTCAAATTGCTCAGGTGAAGCAAGCTCGAAAACTCGTGGTGAATAGAGGCTTTTCTTCCATTAGTTCGGCCGTAAAACTTCTTTAGAATAGACAAAAAAACTTTTAAAATGAAAATCTGAATTTCCTTGATTAATGATTGACTTTGTTCAAGCTACAGAAAATTCAAACATCTTGATGATATTGGCCGCCTTTGTATTCACTGCATCTTTTTCCCCACAAGAGTCGTGGCTTTGTGTGCAATGCATGGCGGGAAATGAATTTTTGTTTGGCCACAAACAAACTTCCTTGATGAATTCTAGCCATTCCCTCAATTAAATAATTTCAGAGAAATATATGCTCGTGAGAAAATATTGAAGAAGGAGAATTATAGAAAGCAATTATGGTGTTTGAATATTTTGAAAAATTTCTTTTGCTATTTTGAGGTCTTGGATCAAAACAGCACTGTCCTAAAAAGCTTTGGAAGTTAGAAGTTTTATTAAGAACCTTCCTGTTCTATACACCAAATCATGTATAGCCCTGCCTGTACGGCATGGAGCACTTTATCACAGACTGGTAGACAGTAGTTTTCATATGCAAAAGTAGAGATAGATGTTTCATGCATATTTCACAATACCCAATTAATTATTGCCTGAGTTGCTCTAATTAGTCAAGTCGCACATAAATTACCTGAATGATGTATAGCTACTGTTCGAGCTCTTGATGAATAAAAACTAATGTTTTGCTAGCTGCTTAAATGTTGATAACTTCAGGTTAACGTTGTGTTATCGGAAAAGTATTTTAAGATAATGAAATGAATTTCCTAATTTAAATTAACAAACAATATCGCTGTATTATGACGATGTGACGATGTGCACCTTTTTTGCCTTGCAACTTCACTTGGCTTTGACACTAAGAATATCTTCAGACGACTAATTTTCAATATTGTTTTTACGTTGTTTTCCAGGATTAAATGTGCTTCTATTAAAGAAAGATTTGGAGAGTAGAAAAGCAAAACCCAACATACAAAGGCCTGAAAAACCACAAGGTTTGCACATAAATCTTTTCTTAAAAATTAAATGAGGCCTTTGAATTCTTTTTAAAGTAAATTGTTTCTTGTATCTTCCAATCCAAACGCAAATTTATTATTTGATTCCGTTATTGATATCATATCGTTTTTGTTTATTCTAGTCCTGAGTCAGGTAAAAGACTTTCTTCCTCTACTTGCCTCAGCTAATGAAAAGTTGGAGAAGGATCTTGCTTTCAAACCATTATCTGATTTCGACATTGAGAATGTTGAAAGTGATGAAAAGTATGTTGAAATGGTGAGTTTTCCTATGACTTGGCGTTATAGATTAATTGTAGCATCAAGTGTATGGCAATATGCAGTCTGACAAGGACATGCCTAAGAAAACCAATTCATCTATGTGTGAAGCTAGTGCCAAGTGCCAGTGGCAGTGTTGGAGGTAAAAGCTTTTTTTATGAACTGGACGAAACAAAGATTTTAGGATTTGCAATACAGCGTGGTATTTTTGTTAAAGGTGTATTCTAAAAAGATCTCATAGGTATTACTGGTACATTCATCTTTTCAAGTGTCTAAGTATTCGGATTGTTTCCTCGATTGTTGTAGAGGATTTCTGCTAGGCTAGTATGCCGAACAGTGGTGTTTTATTGTATTCTGGCATTAGTCTTGGTCTTGGAACACTGAAGTTATTTCTCAAAGGTGAATTCAGCCGTACTCTCTTTCCCATAAATCGTTGTTGGTTTACTTTGTAACGACGTAAAAGAAACGATGACGTAGAACGACGAAAAAAGACGAAGTAATTGATTTTTGAAGCTATTGGAAAATTCCAAGTAGATCTAGTGGCAAGAAAAAATGTTGCTGTTTTAGTTGTTTGTCACGGTTTCTAGCATTCACATTTGCTGAGCAGAGGCAGGTCAACCAAAACCAGCCAATCGTGAGGGTTTATAATTCGTTTACTTTAAAGAAGAACAATGAATTGATTTTATTGCTTTACATGCAAATTTTGTTCAAAACGTTGCTGTCGTTTTATTAGCAACTGGGAAGTTTATTCAGAATGGATAATTTACATGACGGAAGTCAGTCCTTTTGACAAAACATTTTACAGCCTACATCGTTCCGATTAATTTCAAAACTGCAACATTCATTAACAAGAAATTATTTTAAGTTGTTGAAGTTTTTTTTCAATCCAATTTTCCATACTGTTTGAGCTAGGAGCTGATGGAAACCTCCTGTTCGTGAACTTGTATTTATTATTTTTTCTCTGCGAGGTAGCTGCACTTCGGCTTTTGATTTTTAGCCTATGTTTCCTCCTTAATGTGTAATGAGCAATCACGGCCACTATAGTACACAATGGTGCAAAATTTTACAATGGCGTTTATCATTTTTCAACCACATATTGAAAAGCCGCAGCTCTTCAACACGGTATACTTTAATTGAGCATTTTGCTAAAACATTGCCTCGAGTTTGTGCGTTTTTACAAGCCAATTAAGATCAATGTTCCAATGAGAGTGTTTCAAATTTTTTCTTCCTTTCTTCTTTTTTTATATATTTCTGACACTGACATTCTTGCAAAGGGAAAAATTGTATTCCAAATCAGCCCTATGTAACTTTTGCCCTTTGGCTGTTGAGTTACTTGATTTTCGCATACTTTTCTGTTTAAACAAATGATTTTTCTGCTCTTAATTTTGGTTGTCAAATTCATCTTTTTCCAAGATAGTTTTTTTATAGATGAGCTGTTTAGAAGCTATGTCTGGTTTTTCAGAATATTGGACTGTACCTCAAGGGTAATCAAAGCTCGTCAGATGAAAGCAGTGACTCCGATGAAGAACAAATTTGCAAGATGTTTGATGAAGTTACTGATGACAATATCCAGCTGCAACAAGTTTCCAAGATTAAACCAAATCTTATATCTGAAGTAAGAGCGGATGTTAATAAAACTGAAAAACCAAAGGTTAAAGGAAGAAGTATTCAGACTAATACTTGCAAGAGATCGCGAGGAAGAAAGAAGAAAAAATAAACTTGTTGCCAATATTATCGAGTTCATCTGGTTTTCTGGGTTTACTAACAATCTTCTCAACTTGAAATTGTACCAAGAAATATCAACGTTCTTCTTGTTGAGAACACACCTCAATATATCTTTTACCTGACCAGTGAATCCCTAATACCCCTTAATCTCCCAACCATTAAAGTGCTACTGCAACGAAATTTTCGAATTGTCTTTTTTGGCCTTAAAAGAAACTTCAATCTTTGCTGAGAAATATGATATAAAAATAATTAGCAGCAACACATTAAATTGTTTACAAAAGGCCGCCAAAGTTATGAGGTCATGGCGAATTTCGCACATCGCGTGTGACGTAGAAAGTAGAACACATTGCAAACAGCAAACAACAACAAAGCGCACTCCGGTCAGACGTCAGTAGATGCCTGTCGAAGATGGATTCATTTTAGTTTTACCAAATTAACGCAAGATGTCGGACAGCGAATACAGCAGCACCGAAAGTATTTCAGAGCAATTTTCATTAATCGATAGTTCAACTGACGGAGATTATGAAGTTGTGAACTTACAAGCTCACGCTCCATACCAAGACGAACCACTGGCTCTGCCTGGGCAAGCGCGAGTGAATTTTGAGGAAGACAAGGATGGCATTCCTCGTGAAACACTGGAGGCCAGATTCGAGAAGAGAGTTGCTGTGAATGACTGGTAGGTGACTTTAATTACATATGAAGTATTAGATAAATTCTTTCCTGAGAAATTCAGTCACTCGCAGGGCCTAGACGACAGGCCTGCCTTCAATAACTTGGTTTAGGGCAAGCAAGCCTAGGGTCTACTTAGGCCCCAACGTGTGAATGAATCATTTAGTCCGAGCCGTCTTCGAAAAAAACTCGCATCTGTAATTTATTCACTCGCATCTTTTCCAATTCAAATCACGTTTTTACTTAACCCATTTAAATCTTCTTTCCTTTTCTAAAGGTGCTCGTGTTCACAGTGTAAAGATGAACTGTTGGTGGGTGCGTTAGAATACAGATGCTGCAGGGAAGTACACTGTGCTATTGGCAAGGCAGTTTTTGATGGCACAATTGATGGAATAACATGTATCATCCAACACCGCGATTACAACGCATTGGTCAATACAGAGGTCCTGATGATGGTTGGGCCTTTATTGAAAGACTCGCAAGGGCGAGCATACAAGCGAAGAGCAGGACAAGGCAGAAACGAGTAAGCTAATAGTTGAATAGTTGCAAAAACTTTTAGAATTTTTATTTTTGAAGTCTAAAATTTGCGATAAAATTGTTTCAATCCACCAATGATAACATGATTATAACCAGAAGATACTTGTTGGTGAAAATGAACAAGACTAAAGCATGTTTCCATAACCCAAAAATATTCTTAATATTAAAAATTACACAATTGGCAAAACAAGCTATTCATGATAGCAAAATGAAAATACAGTATATATATTCTGTAGTTTTTTATAATTTCACTTTCAAGAGAATCTGCTTTTTGTGCAGAACTTTAAAACTTGGCATACCATAGCCTTCCCTACCCCAGGATTGCAATTTCAACCCCAGACTAAATAATTTTTGTTATAAGAACAGCAACCAATATTTGATCATGAACATAAAATACTTATTGTCAGTTACTTATTGTTGTAGGTAAGCCATGTTAAATGCATAACATAAATAAAATAGATCAGTCTTTAGCATAAATAAGAATCAACATATTTTTTCAGGTATCTTAGAGCTGTTGCCTACAGATGGCTAATTCGTTGGTTCTGTGGTTACCTTGGTTGGGACAACAGAAGACCACTGCCAGCCTGCATATACCATAACATAAGGACGAAATTCCAGACAGCTGCTACTACTGGTTATGCAGATAATGAATAAGACTTTAAGCATTAAAATATTTGAGAGTAACTGTTTAGATCTGACTCATTTTCAGTAAAAATATGCAAACATTTCAAATGTGCCAAAACTTATGAATCTGAGGGTCCAAAAGCTCTACAAAATAAGCTACAGAATATGGCTTTTGCCCTCATGTTTCACTACATGTTTGTTCCAAATATCAGTATAAGTAGCAGTTGCTCTCAAACATTTCCAGTCAGTTTATTTGTTTGAGTGTATTTAACTTTTGCTAATTTCTAACCAGTAAATTTTAAACTTAACCCTTTCCATACTGAGGTCCACTTTTTTAATAAAAGTTTTGGTAGAACACAAGTGGACTTCAAATACCGAAAGGGTAAGGCTTTTTGATAAAAGCAAATACTTTCTTTTGCAAAGAAGAGAGAGATCTGGAGTGTTTCACCAAAAATCAGTCACACTTTCCACGTTTATGCCCCTTTGTTGGTTTCCCACATTTTTTGCAGCAGCGGTTGGTCTTCCTTTTTCTTGTGCTTTCAGCCAATACAGCTGGTTTCATTAGGCTTAATTGCAAGGATTCTTGTTCATTTTCTGTGCAAAAAATTAAACCAACAATATAACCACAAAGGCAAAATAAAAGTGTACCACAACCAAAACCTGTATTTTGATTGCAAGATTAGCTGCTGCTGTGCAAATGTACATTCTATATAAATATACACAAATTATGATTTCAGTGATTATGATGGGAAAGGGTATTGACCCAAAGATCCCAGATTGAATCTGGTCAATCTATTCTTACAAATATGAACAATAAGAATTTGCAATTACCCCATTTTCTATGAGACCTTGAACCAATGATTTCTAAATGGTCCCTTTCATAAGAAATTTATATATATCTTGATGGAAAACTAGGCTTTCTGTTTAACAAGTGGTTTTCCCTTGCTGTATGATCCAGTATCCCAGTGTAATTACATACTGTATTTCATCAACAGACAACAGTATGTGAAGTTTTTGTCCAAATAACACAAGAAAATATTTTACCTGTAGGGTACATTGGTGTAGTAGTGCTCTGCTTTAAAATATATTCAGAGATGGCATCATTCTTTTGACGTCTGTTTGGGAACTGAGCAGTTAAAGGCTCTGGCACTTTCCGTGTGTACTTGTCCAGGACACTCCCAAGCTCCTCCAAGGGCGTGCTGAACAAAACATTTCTTATATTGTCCACATATGCTGCAATATGAGGAAAAATTTATACAATTTCATGGTCTGTAGATACTCTGGCGCACTGTTACATAGTAACTGTTTTATTTTTAATTCTGATGCATAAAGCTAAGTGTGTTTCAGGCTAATTAACAATGGCAGGCAATATTTTTATGCATTATTAGTCTCATAACAATTTTTAACTTGTGGGGTACAAAGCACTCAGTGAAGTTAACTGGATAGACTACTTTTAAGTTAAAGTCCAACACAAAGAAGTGATAGAAAAAAGATATCATCCTTTATTCATTTAATTTCAAGACAACATTAAACCTCATCAACTAGAATCATTTCATGTCTTTCAAATATTTTGCAAGCAATTGTAACATTGTGAGTTTTGTGACTCTAACAACAGAACTAACAAAGCCTTTCTCATTGAAGCAGTCTGTAACACAGAATACCTTTGTTTGATGTCAAAATTAGTAGTAAAATAACAATTTTATTGGTTTACTTACCATATGTAGGGGGTATGGCAACTTCTCTGACAACTTCTTCCCCAAGTTTGAATTTTGGGTAAACAACTGAGTAGCATACTGATCCATCTAATGCTGTTCGTGCTTCACGATTGAGATTCTCGTTAAAATGAGAAATAGCCAAAACATGTCTGAAACATAAGATGCATTATGTGTTACGTCTGGTTTAACTAGATAAAATACATTTTTCTGTTCTAAATGACTGTTTGGCTTGCTATGTCAAGACATCTTGTTTGGATATTTAAATACTTCTCCCATTTTCAATCTTTAGAACTAACCAAACAAGACTATCTTGGTGCAACACGCCACATAACCACATAAAAAATTACATCACACAATTGTCTCATGTGCTGAAATTATAACATCTGAGATCTCACCTGCAGTATGTACCAAGCCAAGAAAAGTGAACCATTTTTGGGTGCCAGTGATTTAACGTTGAATGAAAGCCTTCCAGGCAGCTTGTCTGGGCATCACATGATAGACTCTGGACATCTTTTAAAGTGGTTGTGTTGCAAAGAATCTTGAGTAATTTGTCATATGCAGGTGTACCTGACAAAATATCAAAAACCAAAACATTTCAAATGGATTTCCACTAAAAACAAGGAATGGTTGGTTTCATTCCACTAAAGTCTGGATGATGTACTATTCGCCTCCAACAAATTTAAGGCTTGTACCCACAAAACATTTACATTTACATACCGATTGGAATCCATTCACGTGGTTCAAGTTCAACATGTGCACACTTGTTGTATAACAGACTCGGATGTTCATCATGTTTGTTTGCAATATGACGCATCAAGGATCTCCACTTTGCAACAATCAACTCACCAAAGCCTTGCTTGGTAGAAAGGGCACACCAATAAAGATGCTTACGTATTCCCTTGAGCCATAATTTTAGTACTTCAAAGCCTTTTTCTTTGCTGCCTTTCAAGATTTTCTTTGTGAGACCTTTGCAGACATGCCACAAATCATTGAAATGGGAGGTTTCAGGCTGTGATTCACGAATCCACTTTGCGATTCCTTTGTGTCGATCACTTATGAATGTTGTGATTGTCAAACCAGCATTCTTTATGTACTGAAAGCAACGTTTGGCTCCATCAAGTTCCATTGCGTTACTTGACCCTGATTCATTTGCCTTAAAATTAAAAGGTTTCATTTAGGAGTTGCATGCAAATCACAAATGCCACTGCCATCTTTAATATAGTGGTTACTTCTTTTGTGTTTGGTTGATACATTTTCTCACTCATTCAGTGATATAATCTGTGATGCATTGAAACTCTACCAAATATGAGTGCTGTATAAATCCTCTAAAACACTTTAAAATGGCAATAGCAGATTTATCTGTTTTCACATGAAATTGATAATTATACTTACAGTACTTAACTTTTTGGGTTGCTGTGGACAATAGGATTGAAAAAATGCCTTAGACAAACACATGACACAGAAACAATGACTCTGAAAAATTGCTCACCTGAAGCAGTTCAAAATGGACCAGTTTGGAGATGGAATTGGAAAACAATGTGTAGACACCATATTTAGCATTGTGACCCATAGAATCAAACCTTCCATCTCCAGACCATTGTGCATTCTTGACCCCTCTCAATTTTTCAAGCAGTGATGAGCGATAGCTTTCCCAATGATGGAGCACAGATGGGAAGAGGAATTTTTTCTGATGATAAAAAAAGGTCCGTCCAGATATGGCTGACAGCCCCATGTGTCTAAACATCAACAAAGCCTGGCTTATTCTCACACCCGATGTCAAGATGCCAAAACTCAGCATTACATTGCCTGCAGGATATTTTCCAAAGAGTGATGGCTGACTTTTCCACTGGAAATGCATTCTGCACTGCCTACATTTCTGCACAACAGTTGCCATTGTTCCAGTGCGATGTACCTCAACAGAAGGATTGTCAGCTTTGCATCGGAAACAGAAAGTTTTGAAAATTGCCAACAACATGCCATAGAAAACCACAAACTTGGGCTCTTCAGCAACTCTCGTCCCAGGTCTAACACTAAAAGAGGTTTACTGTATTGTATAACCGGTCCAAAACTGTAAAGCTGCTCTGATAGGGTTATAAAGTGAAAAAAGGAAGGAGCTGTATTTTCAATATACTTTCAATATATACTTTCAATATTGTGAAACATACTGCACTTTCTATTTTGTTTTGCCTGAAACTGGAGCTGAATGACTTGTGTTGTTTTGCCTGATGCTGGATCTTTTCAGACAGTGACTTACATTAAGTCAGATATTGAGTGATGAAACTGCAGTACAGTTTCTGTGAAAATTATTTTCAGCCTAATCACAATCAAACATACTGTATTTTCTATTTTTTGACAACTCCTCTATATCTGCAACCCCAGGGGGGGGGCACTCCATAACTTTTGATATTCGGGGTCTGTGAATTACAACATTGACACAATTCAATATTTGGGGCAAAAATGTCTTGCATTGACTTCACATGGAATGCAGTGTGACCCTGAAGTTGCGAATCATGAAATAAGTGTTTTCGTATTTTTTAAAAACTTAGAAAGATCAAGAATCTCAAATTGAGATCATTCAAAAATGTTGTAGTGGTCCCAGAAATAGATAACAATATTGGGGTCACCAAAACATTAGACTTTACATTAGACGCTAAAATTGATTTTCAAAGCAATCAGTTTTTACCTTACAAGATTTCTTGAAACAAACTGATTTCCATCATCTTCGGTGTCTGTGGAGTCGGCCGATTCTTCCAAAGTTGCCCAGTCTTCCTCATCCTCATTTTCCAGACTCAAGTCTTGACTGACATGAACTTCATCAAGCCCATTGTCATCCGAACCGCTATCCATTATATAACCTGAAAGGCTACTTGCATCCATGTCTTCAGGCATAACATCCGTGTTTGTAAGCTTGCAAGAAAATTGAGTAATGTCATTTAGTGTGTAATGTTACTTTGGTTTACAATCCTTAAGCAAAAAAGCTCCAGGGGCCAGAAGTTGTATGTGGAATGCACAGAAGTAACCAAGAGAAGGGTAACACTGAGTGTACTTTGACCAATGTCAAACAGAAACCCAAAACGAGTTCTAAGGGTAAAGAAAGAAATACCTGCTCAATTTTTGCATACAGCTCTGCCCTCTTCTTCTTCAACTTGCTGACCTTTTTTTGCAGATACACTATTTTAGCTTTATTAGACTTGCAGTTCTCACAAGCAATATTGCTTTCGACTCGGCTATCCAATTCTTTATTATCATCTGCTTCTTCTACATCATCGCCAATGTCTGATGTCGTCGTTTCGATAGGTTTCGGGGTTATAATAGCACTTCGAACAATCTGCAAAGAAAAAAGTATAGACGATCAAAAAAACAACTCAGAACAAATGAGTTCTACGATGGACATTGGTCTGAAAGTGAAAGAACAACAAACCAGGAAGTAGGCCAGAGGGCCTAAATCTTCGCTCACCTGTCTTCGATCTCGATCTGACATTTCTTCAGATATCTTCGGAGCTTCGTTTGCTACATGAACCGTTGGCACTGCATCAGGCTTGAGAAAAGACTTAACTCCGAGCTGTAAAGCTATGTCTCTTCGCATTGTGAAGGAAGATTCCTCAAAGTGACTCCCACACAAAATTGATGTCTTCGAAGGGACCCAGCCTGGTCGATAACGCCGCACAAATTGGACCCATTTCTGATGTCTCGCGTTGTCTTTTTCTTTATCGGGGAATAAGTGAACTGACACCCCATCAGTATATTGACTATTTCCACAGCTGACTAAGTTAGGGCCACCAGCAACACAGCGCTTTCCTCCTCGGCTCTGTTTCTCCACTCTACTCGCCATGTTGAAGTTGTCGTGATGAAGTTAGGATAGCGTGCCGCATTGTTCTTTGAAATTCGTGTTCTACTTTCTACGTCATCAGGCAGCTAGAAAAATTCGCACGCGATCTGCCAAAATCACCAACTTTGACGGGCCATAAAAAAAATTCTACTCCACCGAATTGAAATCGGTTTTCAGTATCGTAATTAGCGCATAAAGATGTCTCGGAATATGAACAAAACAGAAATTCGAAAATTTCGTTGCAGTAGCACTTTAAATATAATAAGTAACTATATATAAGCAGTAAATATAATCAATTGAGCTATTGGCAATTGACTAGATATCTGAAGTGTCAATTAGGAATACTGTTTTTGCAAGAACCAACAAGGGACGATCAGTAAAGATTTTTGATTAGTAAATAGAATCTATTGAGTCCGGAACATTTATTACATAACATTATGATCTTTGTATTTTAGTATTGTTGTGTTTTGAAACTATACTTTTTAAATTTTCTTAGTGTGCTAACTTTATATTTTTGAAATAAAGTTTTCTGTAAGATATAAAGATTAAATTTGAAGGGTAATTTTTTCGTTTGCTCAATTTAAATATTTTAACCAGTTAAAACTACAAACTAAAGAAGAAAGGATGGTGAGAAAAAGCCATAAATGCTCCAACTGAATGGCTGCACGGAATGGTAAGGAAAACAGATAGATTTGACCAGGTTTTCGGAGAGGTCACTAGCTATCAACTGACCTGGATTTGCTATTAAAACCAAATCTCCATTGACGCTTGCAAAGGCCTATTATGAAAATCATACAGTTCTATTGTCCTATGTTTGCCTCGAATAATTTCGCTTGACGAAAAGTATAAACTACATCAACTATTCGTCAAGCGAATTTTTCGATGCGCGAATGCTTTTCTCATAAAATTTTTCTCTCTGCGCTTGTGTCGTCACGAATTTTTCAGAAGAACGCTCCAAAAAAGCGTCAGTGGAGATTGGCCTTAACAGTGTTTGCCGATTCATTTAGGACAGAAAAGGCCTTGTAGTTTCTACAAAAACTGTATTTTATTAGTTTCAAGAAAGCAAAGACCATTTACCCCAGTGAAGTTGTTCTTGCTTTATCGTTGTTGTTTTTGCACGTCAGTCTTGACTTGTTAACGCTTAGATTTTGGTGTTTTGTTTCCCTCACTTTGTCTTGCCCTGCTCTTTCCAACAACAAAACGGAGATCAGACGTTAATTTGAAGTTTATGCTGCGCAATTGAGGCTTTTAATGAGCTTTTTGAACTATTTGGAAGATAATTTAAAGTTAGTCAATCCCCCTTCGCATCTTTCCCTCAGTTCGCCTGGCTCTGCTATCCCTGATGAGATATAGTTTGCAATCCTCAAGATCTGTTACATTTTTCTTCAGTTTCTTTAACTTTCTTCTGTTTCTATAACTTTCTTCCGTTTGGCCTTTTGCAATTATTTAGGATATGTATAAAACAATCGTGAATATTTGTTCCTTTTGATTTGATGAAAACGTTTTTCAAAATAAAACAGTTTTCCTGTGCCAGAAGTTAGGCTGAATCAGACGTTTCTTTTGAATTATGAATTCCTGCGGCAAATGCTGTGGTTTTCTTCGCTATTCAAATTAAATAATGTTCAACGGAGTGTTATATAGCCGCTTGAGGGTGATAAATACGGTAAAATAAGGTTATCATGTGCAGAAACCTGCTTAGAAAACTTCTTGTATCAAGATGCTGTTCAAATGTTGGCCAACTTATTTACCAGGATTTGAAAAAGTTACTTGTAAAAATCATATTTCATGTAAAAATCATAAAAATCAGTTGAGATTTTTTTTAATTTAAGGGCCGACCTCAAAAACAAGCATTAATCTTTCCCGAGCCCCCAAAATGTGATGTTTACACAAACGATACCTATGCACTGTTTTTGAATTAAACACAATTAAAAAAATCCGAAGTCAATAGCAAAATGCGAATGCCTCCGTTGATGCTGACTGTTTTAGGCTGCGTTTACATAAAAAAATTCCAAAACGCAACCTTTCCAAAATCGCACATCGCCAAAATTATATTTCTCTAGCATTGGTTTCAATCTTTGATAGGCCGAGAGATTCAAAATCTTGTCATAAGCCTGATCTAAAATCAATAATGACCCCCCCCCCCCAAAGCATCTTGTAAGCATCTATTTCTATCCGTATCTCTTTGGAACCATTCCATAGGTTTACACGAGAGCTTCTAAATGGTTTCAAATGGAACTTTTTTCTAGATACCGCGATCCCGTTTTGGAACGGTTCCGCTGGGCCTCGTGAGAGCGGACGGCCTAACCGTACTCATTTTAGTACAGATCAAAATAGAAGAGGTCTCGAGAAAGCGCTGCCGAAGCTATACTTTGTTTGGCAAAGTTGCAAAGGCATGCACAGTTGCTGATTTCTTTGCTAAGAATTCAATTCTATGTATTTCTATAAGAGGATGGACCTTTCCAGCTCAGTCATCAAAGAAATTATTGCTGCTCTCTTACATCTGGCATCTGTACCTGCTGTAATCAACAATTCGTAAATAAGAACCCCAACCTCCCCCCCCCCCCCCCACCTCTCTCTCTCTGAGTCCAACAAACCAAATTTCCAACAATGAAACTGTAAGAGTTACTGAAAAAGACAGTTTTGTGTTGCATTTGCATGCTAAATCAAATTATCCATTGACAGAAGCAAAATAATTTATGGCAAAAAACTCAGGCTTGCTAAAATGCTTTTTGGGAATTATTTGTTCTCCCTGGCTACTATTAGACGATAGAGTGAAGGTCAGGTAACAGTATCAAATGGGCGAAAAATATTCCCCCTTTTAGAACTGCCATAAACCATTTTGTCTCAAGGTTACATTCCATTTCTCACTAGAAACATATATCTATGTATTTACGTTAAAATAAAGTGATCCATAAAACGATAAATAAATTTTTCATTTAAGCGATGTTCAAACACGTGTTATGGGTCTTTTGGGATTATTTGATGGCTTTTTGGTACTTGTACTTTTCCTCGTGAAGGCCCGCAGCCTCTCCCGTGCAAGTTCGAACTCCTCAAGCCTCTGTGTTAGCGCTATTTTTTGGTGTATTGCCTGCTTGAGCAAATGATTCAACGTAGCCTTTTCCTCTTCCGCACTATTCAACTTTCGTTGCAGTTCGTCTAACTGGTTGACATACTCTTCACAACGGCCAGCAAACATGCTTCTTAGCGAAGCAAATGTCTGGCACTCCGATTTTAGAGCTTTGATTTGCCTCTTAAGCTGGGCCATAGCTTCAGTTTGCACAGCTTTGTCATTTTCATAACGAGATTTCAGATTCGCAAGGGCTACTTCATACGTTGATTTATTTGCTTTAAGTACAGTTCGCAAAGTGCTGATCTGTTCTCGCTTAGTTGCTAAGAGACTTTGCAGTTTCAAAATTTGCTCGCGTAGTGACTCATCATTTGCGACCGACGCCTCGTCGTGATTGGAGGTCGCCATTCTGCTTCCTTCTTCTCGTGACCTGGCCACTGCTTTTTCTATGGCGCTTGTCAATGAGCGCACTTGATCTTTCACGTTAGTAATCAACTTGTAACACTGTTCGGCTGATCCCTTAGAAAGGTCTATGTGCTCCTTTGGGCCTGATTTACCTACTGCCTTCCCAGTTCCAGGCAATAACGGTTGCTCTGCTTTCGGCTGCGGAGTGACTGGCGGCGAATTCGGCAGCTCACCGCTGGTGACAATGACATGTTGATAAAGCTTTGCTAAATCTTTGCTAACAAAAGATAACTCATCTTGCGTGCAGTTTAGGCCGCCCTGGGCTTCCCCTGCCAGACTGCTCATTGTTCTGACATCATCTTGAAGATTTTTGATAGTTCTTTCGGCTTCCCGCAGTTTTGTTTTTAGTTCTCGAATTTCTTCGCTTAGTTTATTCGAATCTTCCTTCAACTTGAATTCATTTTCGTCTTTTTCTTTCCTGAGCTGTCCTATTTCGGATTGCAGCTTTGCGTGCTCCTTTTGCGACTCTTTGAGATACCCTTGCAAGCCAATTTCCTTTTCATAATGCTGTTTGACTTGTTTCTTCAACTCTTCAATCTCTCTAAGCTGGTTATTGAATGCAAATTCCCTTTCGTTCGTTTCTTCGCTATCGTCTAACGAATCGCAGAGGATTTTTGCCTCTGTAATGGTCTCAACAGCATCCAGATCGCTCTGTAACCTTGACAAATGTGCATTTCTATCATTAAGCTCCTTTACTAAGACGTCCTTCTCTCCTCTAAGGACCTTTAGCTGTTCCTCTAACTCGCGCACTTCGGATATTTGGAGCTCCTTCATGAGGTCATCAACAACTCCGGCATTAGGCGCAGGGGACTTAGTTCTATACTCTTCTGTAATCTTCCGAATGATCGGGTGTTCATCTTTCTCTTCGTCGCTCGCATAATTCACCTCGCCGCTTTCGATGTTCCAAGATCTCATTGCCTGTTCTTGTCTAACTTCCTGTAATTCCTTTTGCAACAAATTGTTTCTTTCCCTTTGCTCACGAACGGTTTCAAGAGCCTCGTTTAGTTGTTTATGATACTGCTCTTTCCCTTCGTTTGCCATTTGAAATTGGAGCTGCAAGTTATCTACTTCGTCTAACAAACTTTTATTTTCAACTTTCAGTCCTTCATACTCAACAAGCGTGCCTTTGAGGGTTGAAAGTTGCTTTTGCAGGCCAATGTTTTCTTCTTCCAACTCACTGTACTCTTGAGCAGAAATGACATCTTTTTGTTTTAATTCACGAATCTCTCTTTGAAGCAGAACTTTTACTTCATTTAGCTTCTTGAGTTGATTCTGAACGGTAGCATGTTGAACTTTCAAGTCCTCATTTTCCTGCCGACAAGCTTTCTCCGCCCTCTTAGCACTTCTCAAGTCAATCTCCAACTGTTTTGTCTTGCTAACCAAATCTAATTCTCTCGTTTGACTTTCTTCGAGCAGCTCGGTCTTATTTTTGTCACCGGCCTTTGACAATTTCTCATTCTCTCCAACTGCAGCTTGAAGTTGCTACGACGAAAACATTTCCGTTTAATTGTTTTCAATGACTGATAAGTCTCATTTCTGAGATACTCACTGCTATATACGAAGTCACTTTACCAGTAAATAGCCCTAAATCGATTGCGAAAAGAACAAGTTAGAGCGAGAAATGACACATGGAAATTACGAGCATGACACATTCTTTTTAGGAGACATCAGAACAATGATGCAAGGATGGCTCAGTTGTTAGAGGCGCTGACTTCAAAACCAAGGATCCGTGGTTCGAGTCCCTGGCATGACCAATCTTTCACCAAGAGTGGGGAGAGTCGCCAGCTCTCTGTAATTCCAGGCGTAGGAATCACGAGGTGTGGTCACATCGAGAGGAAGGACCAGGACACTGCTCGATAAGCATAACTTCTCAGTGTCCTAAAAACTACCTTCTGATGCTAGGTAGAAACAAATACAAATATAAGAGGAATGATCGTCCTTTTTCCTGAGTTACCTTACCATGAAATCTTTTGGTTAAATGCTGAATATGTATGCTTTGTTTTGTGAAATGCATCCGTTTTAGAAACTATAGATTGAACTTAGGTATACTGGCAGAGTTTCCAATACTGGCTAATTGTTTGAATGTGAAAAATTTTTATCTTAATATCCAAAGCCTTCTACAAAGCGTTCACAACTGAGATCAACGATTACTACCTTAGTCACGTTACTTTCTGGGTTCGGAACAAGTGCCCATTCTCGACAATATTGAATCAAGCACAGTATAAATCTCAACACATGTATGTAGAAAAGAATCCTAATGCTATATCCAAGGGAATTGATTTGTTTATCCATTCAGAACTCGCTTAAACTGACCAATGCAAGTTTGGAACCGAAACTATCGCAGTTTGCTCGTTTTGAACAGGACAGAGTAGTATTCACCTATACGAGATGATTTTCTTTGTTACGAATTCACAACGAGACTTAAGTAATGCAATAGAGGCAGTTTGTTCTTCACATAACTTTCTGTCATGTCTTTTCGTGATATAAATAAAATAATGTAGATTCTAGAGAAAGTCATGTTTCTGTAACTTTTTATTTCGACCAATAAAAACAGTACAACAGAATGGAGGAAGACATTAACCGGAGAATACGATTCAAGAAGAGGAGCTTCCCCTGGGGGTTGTTCCAATGACTTCCGGTTTTTAGAAAGCTCGTACTTGAACAGCGTTGCACAGTACAAAATATAAACTATTAAATTTGTTTGCAGAATGCAACAAAACTACATTCGCATGAAAAAAGCTACTGAATACAAGCAAAACAGCTTTGCAAGAGACGTTTACAGCAAATTGCAAATTAGTTACCTCGTTATTGTTATCCATGGAATACAAACAATCAAAGAATTTGAAGATAGTGTTGAGAGCCTGTGAGTTCCCTCAAAATGAGGGAAACATTAACAAACATCGACTGATATAAAGTGCTTTAACGACTCATCCCACACAATCACGAGAATAACAAGGAAATGTAGTACACGTTGACATGGGAGTCGCAATATGTGAAAGAGCATTGTCAAACAATAGAAACACCATGCGATTGGTTTGTTATCGGCTTTTCTTATGCAAATAGTTTTGTCATTTCAGTTGGTGTTTTTGCAGGTAAGTCATTCGTATAAAAGGAAGCAGGACAGGTCTTAACTCGTAACGATTGTCTTGGTGTTTATCGACAAGGTTGATCCTGGGAGGGTGTTAGGGGGGGGGGTACTGTCCGGGAATACAGGCTTATAAAATTTATGATTCAAAATTCTGGTACGAAAATCGCCCAGGGGTTTCGACGGAAGATTGAAAGTAGGAGGGACAAAGGGCAAATTAAGGACCCATAAAAAAATATTTCGCAAAACGCTCTACTCTTTTGACAGGGATATCTCAAAACTGACTCTGCATTCCTGTTGACCCTTCTCCTCATGCCCAAACAATTGCCAACTCAAACTTTGCTAGCTTGAACAATCTTCATTGTTTCTTTAGAGGTGCTAGTTTTTGTAGCCATACTGTACTTCAAGTCAAAGTTTCTAACAATATTAAATCTAAAATCTTTCTAGAATCAAGTTTGAGAATATTGCCATATTAGCATGATGCATTGTCATGTTATACTAAAATGTATTGAAATAGCAAATTATCTTTCAAATTCATAAAAATAATTTCCAGCAAAATGGTTTAAAGCATTTTTTGATGCTGATGCAGACATTAGGCAGGGTGATAAAAACAGAGTGTTGCTGAGATAAAATTTACAAGCTTGGTTTATCCTTCACATGGTAACAGGTGACTTTCAGCTTAACAAGCCACAAAACGGTGACACATCGGTTAGTGAGGTCATCTGGTCAGTTCAACCTACAGAAATTGCATCTGACATTAACATGATGCAGTCTTAACAAGGAAATTAGCAATGGGTACAAAGAACTTTACACAAACTGAACAAGGTTGGATGAGCAAAACTTTTATAGGCAGCATTCAACTGATGTATAAGTTTAAATAACTGCATATTCATAGGAAATAAATAGAAAAAAACCAGGACATACATTCTAACTTAACACAATGCAAATCATATCTTGGTGGCATTAATAAAACTCCTTCTCTTCAAAGGAGAGTTATCAAATAGAGAGTGTTGAGACCATTTATATAGACAATGAAGGCATTTACCCTTTGGTGCTTACTTTAGTTTATCAGAAAGATGTTTGGTGTTTTAATCAAGAAATGAAATGTAGGTGACTGGTCGCAGCTCCACAGCTCCTACAGCACCAAAATCATGCATAAAAAACAAAAGCATTTCATTTAGAATCCTAAGTCACTCTTAGAATAAATATCAAAACTAAAACAAACATAGTTTTAAGAATCTTCGTGTGTTTAATGAAATTTTTGGCTGTTGAGTTTAATGAAATTATATAAACTGTGTAGCTAGGAATTCTGAAGATTTATTCATCTGCCACTTGTTACTTTATCTATTTACATGTAAACCAAGGGTTAATTTCAGAAGTATTAAAGTTGTCAGGATTGGACCCCTGACAAAAAGCTGTATATCTGTCCTTTATTTCAATAGAGCTAAACAGGCATTCTGGGGGGTCACTTAAGGAGGGGTATGGGGGTGGCTTACCCCCTCTCCCAACCACAAAAATAGGGCCTTATCACAGGGAAAAAATAATTTTGGCAGGGCTTTTATTCCAAATTGATCTGCTTTAATGTTTATCTTATATAACTGTAGCAAGAAGGTAGTTCATATGCTTTGAAATTTTCTGTTCTTAAAGTATAGACTGCTGGTGACACAAAAATAGGAATTGCCAGTGATAGTTTGATCTGGAGGGAATATATTTTTAAATTGATTCTGATTTCCTTTTTCTGCGGATCTAAGTGTGGTCGACATTTGCGTCTTTTTCATAACCACACAAAAAACACAAGCACAGCTTGTCAGAAAACTAAGAATGAATACAAACGGTACAAAACGGAACAGAACGGTACAAAACAAACTGGACATTGCAACACAGCCTGGTGGCAGGGTAGATCTGGAATCCAGTTTTTTGTGAAAGTAGTTTGTCCAGATAATTGGAGCATCTGCAGAACAGATATATATCTTGAAGAATGTTTGCGTGTTGTGATTTTACATCTAGTTTACCCAACCATTAGTTCAGTGGGATGATAGTGTGCAGTGGGATGATAGTGTGCATATCAATTTGTAAAAAATGAGTTGTGTCTTTATATGTGAAGCACGCTCCTCTACTATAGGCCTAAGATAATGATGCAGAGGTATGATGGGAGTTTTCCTAAGAGAACCAAAACCTGACAGTGGTCTAGAGCAACATTAATATAGCTTCAAAGCCTCTATAGTTTTCATTTTCCATTATGGTTTTTCCAACTTTGGATGGGCACACTTTTTTTAGGGCAAAAATGCAGACCCCCTGCCCCCCCTAAGCCAGGTTATATTACATTTATTGCCAAAGCCATGCCATTCAGGAATGGAAATGAAATGTTAGAAAAAGAAACAGATACAAGACAAACAGAGTCCTTTTTATATGTAACATGCAATTTGTCATAATGTCCTTTTACCAAGGATAATTAAACACTAACATTTAACAGTTCTTTTTCCCTTAGAATTATCCCTAAATTCTTTAAAAAATGTTTTCAGCCATTTTTAGGGTCATTCCACAATTTTATCCCAAAAACTGGTGCATTATTTTTTTGGAAGGTAGGTGCCTTTTCTAAGTGTATGTTGTGAATTAGAGTTTAAATTTTGTTCAAATGATAATTACATATACTGGGCACATTTCAACTAAATTGTTTGAATCGTGTTTAGTTTGATTCTGAAATCATGGGTTATCTTTATCTTTTGGCAATCTTGTTATTTGAAATCTATGATGCCTTCATGTCACTAATGAATGAAAAAGGTTTGATGCAGTAACTATGGGAAACTCTCCATGATTTTAAAGTAGCTTTGAATTCACATAGCATACACCAACACAGGTCCAGGGCCTAGGAGAGAAGGGGCAAAGGAGCAAAACTTCCCAAAGGCCTGCTCAAGGCCTAGGGGGCCTTTCAGAGTAATAAATTTCATTTTAAGAATGGCATTAATCAATTGCAGCAAAAGTATGCCTAGAAAATAGTAAAATGTTTTGAATGATAGCAAAGAAATGACCGCAAGAAATATTCTGATATGTATTTTAAGCTAACCTAAAAGCTGTGGTCAAAAAAAATTTATGCTTGCTTTGTTTACTGGGGGCCACATCTTTCTGTTTTGCCAGGGCTTTTGAATCCTCTAGATGGCAATGACTAAGTCTAAGACAGGAAATAACAGCTCTTACTTACATTTGCCTCTAGAACTAGAAGAACTTACTAGGGCACATAAGCACTGGCAAAAATAGGTAACTTTTATTGCACTGATCACATTATATTATTTAAAACAGACAGGACAGTATGTCTAAAGATGCAGTCATTTCTCAATTTTTTGAAAATAAATATTTTTGTTTTTCTCTGTTACAGTTCATTTTATCAAAGGATTCAGTTCTCTCAGTCAATAACGTGTTCTTACTGGATGTGATGATAGGAACATTCAACTCACAGGCTGATGTTACATCTTATTGAGAAAAAAATATTGTTTTCATAGAAACCCACACAGTTGCCAACACTTGAATTAACATTTTATGCATCTATGACGTTAAGTATTCTATCTTAATAGAATGCCCTAGTCTCCTGATTGACAATAAGAGCACATAGAAACAGATAAGCAAGAAATCTCGTAAATTAACGGTACTGTGTTTTTATTGCGTGGTATAAAATAAAGACTCAACAAAGGGCAGGGTGGCAACTTTTGAATAATTAACAAAAGCACGTTTTGAACTTACGGACTTTACGAATTCTCAGCAAACTGTTATACTGAAAATTTCTACAATCACCATTTTAAAACGAATTGCAGTTACAACGTCCAGTTTTCACTCATGGACTTGTCGTCAGTAACCTTGAAATCTAGCTTTCATTTAGCAAATGCGGGTTTTCCTCGGGAAAAGGGCGGATAAACGGTTGAGTAACATGCCGGTGCCAAAATCGAAAATAAAACAAAATTTTCAAGGGGATTTTAGAGTTACATTCAATTTTGTAAGCTGATCACGACACTTCAGGTCTCTAATATCGGTTGATAGTTATAATTAGGCAGCCATCGAAACTCTATTTCCACATTCAAGCAAACATCGTAAATTTGAATCCAAACTAACAAAAAAAAGAAAATAAAGTTTGCATGTTTGGAAGAGTTAAAAATCAAAATTCCTATTTATAAATGCCGATGGGCGCTTTAGGCGACCTTGATCGCTAACCATCAACTTTTCCACTTCCTATGTTACAGAGGGGAAAACAGCCTGAATTTGTTTCCATTTTAAACAGCTCCAACAATTATAAAAGACAAAACAAAATTGAATAATTAGCAGCCAATATACCTGTTTCAAGTGATCAATTTCTTGTTTTTTCTGATCGAAATTAACAACGAGAGAATCATATCGCTCTTGGAGTTGTTGTTTTTCCTCTAAAACGGCTAGGCCATACTCTGCCGCCTGCACTTTATCTTGGCAGGCTTGTTGGAGCTCTTGTGAAAGCCGATCGACCTCTCGTTTTAAACTTTCCATTTTGCTTTAACTTTTAAATCGCTTCATCTTGCTTTACCTCACTGCAATTTTCACCCGATCAAAGATTAACTTTCCTTTCGATCCAATTTACCTCCTAGGCCTTCTCCACGTATATACAAAACAAAATACCAACAATGGCCACGTGACCACATACAAACTTCAATCCGCTGGAGGCTTGGGTAAAGCCAAGTAATATTACGTCAGTATCCCAAGTTGTTCATTCCACCAAGCGGAATGCGCCGCCACGCTTTTTCTCCGTGACATTAACTTCATTTTTTAAATTCTTCTTTAGAACAAAACTGGCCGCTTTTCAGGGGACAGTGTAATTAACCTAGTTACAATGTTCTTAAAATGAAATGAAAATGAAACGGTGGTTCTTAAAATAAGGTGAAACTCACAATGTCAAATAAGAATAAATGTTGAAGTTATCTTCTACTTAATCTACATTTAAAATTGGAATAAGAGAGGGCTAGCTTGACTTTAAGTTCTGATTCATTCCAACCAAGCCTTTGATCCACGGAACGAAAGTGCTTTTATTTTACTAACTCGGGAATG